GAGTCAAGTGGTAAACAGCACGCCGGCCACCTTTATTTTCCAGGAAACTACCTGGTACCCACTTAAGGCTGGCTCCACCTGAAAGCCAAGGTCATTTTTGAAGAAAAAAAAACCCGGCTCTGTCAGAACCCGAACCCAGTACCTTCCGATACGCAGACGATCGTCTATCCGCTACGCCACGGCGGTTTCCTATGACCAACCACACACTTCTAAAATAAAGTTTCCTCACAAGTCCCGTCTATTGTACAGCTTGAACCCACGACTATGGAATACGACTCTCTCGGCAAACTGCTGGACGTTCTGCAGGGAGAGACTGAGCCATGCGGGATGAAATGCAGTGCAATTAATGCTATCCTCTCAGCTTTAACTTAAAGCTAAGGCTGGGAATATTTCCTTTACGAGTTGAGTATCAGAAATAGTCCAACCCAATTCTCTGGTAAAAAAGTAATCGTAACAGGAGCTGTATCTTTAAAGTTCTTGCTCGTTCATTGTTCATTACAACAGTATCATCTTCACTGTGCGTCGGGTAAAGGAAAGGTCGGCTTGGTTTGAGTCGGTTGAGGATTCTATGCTCCACTGGGGGTTAGAGGGTCGAGAAAGAGGAAGTCCTAGAACAGTGGTCTCTTAACTTTGTCAGGTGGCGCCCCCTTTGAGTATACGGCAAGACCACCACGCCCCCTTGAGTATATGGCAAGACCCCCCCCCCCCCCCTCCCCCTTGAGTATATGGCCCCCCACCCCCCTTGAGTATATGGCAAGACCCCCCACCCCTTGAGTATATGGCAAGATCCCCCCACCCCTTCCCCCTTGAGTATATGGCAAGACTCCCCCCCCCCCCTTGTCTATTCACAAGACCCCCAGCATGGGAGTTTGGCAGAACCCCCCCCCCCCTGAGTTATTGGTCAACATTTCCCACCCCTTTGTTTAGTCCTTGAGTTTCTTCTCATCCCCCCTTGAGTCGATCACGCCCCCTTTCTTGGCAAGACCCTCCCCATTCCCTTCCTATATGTGTCCCTTAGTACAAGATCACACGCCTCCCCCTTGGCATTCCCCCCCCCCCCCCCCCCCCAGAGTCCATGTCAATACCTGCTTAATTCATTTCCTGCTTCTACTTGTCTTTATGTCGTTGTAGATCTCGACATCTTCAATCCGTCTTTAGTTCACCATAAAGGATGTTCTTGGGGACTATGTCATCCTCCATTCTCCAGGTGTGACCCAGCCACCTGAGTCTTCCTAGACAGAGCGTTTAGAAGCCTGTTGTAATACCTGCTCTTTCCAAAGCCTCAGTGTTTGTGATCTTGTCCCGCCACTTAATGCCAAGTATTCTTCTTATGCATCGCATGTGAAAGCTATTTAGCCGTCTCTCCTGGCGCGAATAAGTTGACCAAGTTTCAGTGCCATAAAGCAGAGTGCTGAGAACACAAGCATGAAAGACAAAAGTTTTTGTTTTACTGGTGAGCTTTCGGTTTTTCCAAACTCCTTTTGTGAATCTGCTCATTGTTGTTGCTGTCTTACCTATCCTGATGTTGATTTCTTGATCCAGCGATAGCCGGTTATTCACTGTGGAACCCAGACAGATAACATGGTCAACTGTCTCCAGCTCTTCACCATCAATATAAACTGCAGGTCTATCGTTAACAACTTGCACCATAACCTTTGTCTTCTTTTTGCTAATCGAGATCCATATGTGTAGGAAAAAACAACACGGCTAATATAAGAAAACTGTCTAGGTTTATGGGGGAAAATGTAGGTTCTATTTCATATAACTGTAAAATATGTTATTTTTTAATATGACCATAACTTGAACATTGGTTACTGTTATTCCACCACAGAAAACACACGGACTTGGCTAGATAATTAAATAAGCGGGTATTCTCTCTAAGTCAGGCGAAGTCGATAAAATGGTGTCAAAAAAAGGCGCATCCTTTTTTCACTCCAGTTTCAAACTTCAGACCAGTCACTTAAACCATCATCAGTTCACACTGCATACTCTGAACCATTATACATTGCCTATAATACTTGCTGTTTTCATCTGTATTACCGTAACACTCCAAAAATTACACATAATCATTTCCGTTCAGTTTTTGAGAGAGAAAAACATCGTCGCTTTTAACCAACATACCCTGGGGGGGGGGGGGGGGGGCTTTTGGTTATAGCTGTGACTTAGGTTTTGCGCCATTTTTATATGGCTCAACATTGCTTGCCACCAAGTAGCTCTGAAAAAAAATGTTGCAGTGTTAAAGCGACCAGCGGAGACAGACCCAAATGCTGTCTAGGATTGACGACGAAGTCGTCTACCGGCTAGCCAAGGGTCTGCCCGGTCACCGATATGCCCTATAGTGATTTTCTGTGAAAGCTTATATATCTTGTCCTCATCTTCCCTTTTACATGATTGCAACTTGGTTGTTTGACTCAAAGAGCCAGTTTTTGGATGCTTATCCAATAGAAACAAATCTGAGCTATCCAGTGAAACCGTATACAACAGTTATAGTGGGGCACCAAAATGACATCTTAGTCTATTTTCTGGTGTGGGTATGGGTTTTCTGGTGCTGACTTTGAGTCTGCAACCATAAGTAGACTACAAATTTTTTTTTTTTAAACGAGTGGCTAGACAAATGCATTGTGCATGGACCCAGAGAAGAAGAATAACCCACACAAAACCTGTTTCCGAGGGGGAGGGGAGTGAGAAATTATACTATATGAAAGACTGTGGGAATACCATGTACTTTATTTTAGTGAGACTCAGATTTTGGTCATTAGTAATATGCAAACCGCTAGAACACGGATGCTACGATTGAAAATTTGATGTTAAATTGAATTGAATTTGCTACCCCACCACATCACAGCGATAAACACCCGATGACACAATGGCCCCCATGTGATGATACGCCGTGGAGAGGTCCCAGAAACCGCGTTCATTTGGCCATATTTATGGCCTGCCTATATTGCGGCCCCTGGCAAAAGCCAGAGTAGGGCTTCAAATGACAAAAAATTTCGTCCTGAAAAGGACGAAACTGGATATATATAAGTGTGATGTTAAAGCAAGTGGTCGCCCTATGAGAAGCATATCATAGAAAGATATAAAACAGAACGAAAAGTAAATCAGTGAGCTTCACAATATAACAAACACAAACAAAGCGTGAAGGTTGTGGCTATAGAGCCTTCTTCAGCACATACATAGATGAGACAATACTACACAAATACACTATATCACTTATCTTTGTATCTAAAGGCCGCCAGGTCGATGTCAAGACAGTTGTCTGGCGTGGCACGTGGGGTCGGGAAAATTAATATACGGGGATATGACAGGGGCCGTCACTCGAGAATAAGAGGAAAGTGAGTAGGTAGTTTAGCCCCATAGAATTTAGATGAAGCTGTGTTGGCAGTTGAGAGAAACATAGAAACATAAACTGATAACATTAAAGATCTTCTACACCGACAGGGAATGACAATGGCCATTGATACCCATCAAGCAATGGATCGCAAACTGTTCCTCACCCTGCGGCTAAAGGACAAAAGAGGGAAATGATGGTGATGACGAAACTGGAGTTGTAAACCACAATACGCTGAAAGATATATAGCGATGATCAACAATTTAAGATAACCTAAAAGTTAATGGATTTCACACTATTATAGCATCAACAGCTATTTTAGGGCAGAATGATGAATGCAGAAAAAAATGGTAAAGTTGGGAGATGTGAACCAGGCATCACTGCACGCGGTTACAAACCATAAGTGCTCTGCCACCAGTACGGACAGCTAAGAAACTGCCCGCCCGCAACTTCGTAGCTACAGCAACGTTCCTTCATTTACCCCAGTGTTAACATTATGACTCCAGTGTTTTGCCTAAGGCCTAGTGTGTGGGCTAAAATAGCAGTGCATACATTACTCCGTAACAGCATGGGAGGGGGAGGGGGGAGTCAGTTTTTTACCAACAGGCTCAAACTTGTGGCCATCGTATAGGGGAGGGGATCAGATAACTTATGGACTGTTAATGGTTTTTATGTGGGGTGAGAATGATTTATCATTCGGTCTGGTCAGGTCAGGTCACATTTCTCCTCCAGGGTAGCTGTTAGTGGATTAAGACCTTATTATACAAATCCCTTCAACAACGTAAAACCTTATTAAACAGTATCTTAGGACACCCCTGCAGTTACAAAGTATCGTGCAGTCATCCAGTATGGGGAAGAGATACAAAGTATAGTTTTTTTTCTAACGATACGAAGTACGGGTATTTTTTTTTATAGGCAATTTTAATTTTACTTTATAACGAGTACCAACATATGTTTAGACACTTTGTGTTGACTCAGGCACTTTTTTTTTTTTTCTAGAAAAAAAAATCCGTCATGGGATATAAGGGTAAGAAAGAAATCAAAGGAGTATTTGTCATGCAAATTTAGACCTGTGAATCCTGGACAATTGGGTAGGCAGGCCAAACAATTTCTTGAGGCCTCAGAGTTGTGGTTTTACAGAAAAATGCATAGAATACCTTGGACAGCCAAAAGATTAACCAAGAGGTTTTGGAAAAGGCGGGAGCCCGAAGACAACTTATCACAGACATCAGAAGGAGACCGTCATAATTTTTCGGCCATGTTATGAGAAGAGGGAAAATAGAACATGTTGTGACCACTGGAAAGATCTGTGGAAGGAGAGATAGAGGAAGACAACGAGAGAAGATTCTCGACAGTCTTGTTGCATTGCATGTATGTGTGCCAACACACGAACTGATACATGCTGCAGGAGATCGCAGATTGTGGAGAGGCATGCTTGTCGGCAAGGCACCTGATGATGATGATAATCCAAGCCAATGTTTGAAAACATACGGGAACCGGAAAGACATTTTTTTTTACATGCGCAAAAGGATTGATGATTGTTGGTAAGAAAATGGAAAACCATCAGACGACTCTGTTGTGTGTGATAGACTGTGAACATCTTATGTAGCTGCTGGAGGTTTAGGGGTAGTTGCAACAATTATTGTGTGCTCTAAAGATTCTCCTTACAATGGCAGACCACACAACTACCGTTGCTTGTTTGCCGCAAACAAATGAATCGTCGTTAATTTCACCGTCCACACATCGTCATGGTCTTCTAGGTGAACTTAGTCATTCTCACTGCCACCTTAACGGTAATAATAATTTGAGCGCTCAACACAGTCATTCGAATTGCAGTCACAGTCACATTATTAACGAGATTGGATTGTCTAAAGACAACGTTATGTGTAAGAAGCCATTAACCGTTGAAGGAAGTAAAGAGCAGTGCAATGGTCATCTGCAAGTCGACGATGCAGATTTCGATTTAAAGAAAAGGATGGGGCATAAACAAAACGGGGACGCGACGATCAACAATTCTGACGAGCAGCAGGCTTCTCCTACTCCAGGTAGCAATTCACAGTATGCCGCAAAGGCAAATTATTTGGAGAAATTAAATGGACTTACAAATTCTGTTGCTGGACACAGCTCCCAAGAAAACGAGTGTGTATTTAGCTTACTAAATAGCAATACTGCCAATACACATTCTAAAGTAGAAGATGCAGCAGAAATTGAGAACCATAACTGTAGTAGTGTGGGTGCCCATGCAAAATCAGTTCATGAATCACAGTATGTTTGTAAGTGCAGACATTTAAAATCAGCAGACATTGCCTCACGTGAATCAGACCTAGTCGAGTGTGCAGATTGTTCACCTGTGGGCAGCAGTACTGGAGAAATATTTGATACCTTAGTCAGTGAACTAAAGAAGGCATGTTTAGGTCCTGGAAGCAGTAGTAATGAACTGTCGACGGCCACCAATTCAACCAGTGAAGTTACCTATGTAGTTTATGAGTCGGAAAGACAGATGCCTGATATCATGCGACTGATCACAAAAGACTTGTCAGAACCTTATTCCATTTATACATACAGATATTTTATCCACAATTGGCCAAACTTGTGTTTTTTGGTAAGTATTGCATTGCTGTTCTGTGGCTATGTTAAGGTTGCAGTGTGTTAACAGTTTGTGTGAGTAAATTATCCTATTTAACTTAACCACCTTTTTTATATATTTTCTGTACCGGTGATTCCATGCCAGGTTTAACTAGGAAAGATCGACTTAGAAACGATGATATCAGGAGGAGAGTCCGCACAGAACCAATGCTGAACTTTATAGGTAGATAATAAATCAAATGGTTTGGCCATGATTGGCATCAGACAGGGCACCACAGAGAGCAGTGTTATACAGAAAAAGATGTGGTCCACGCAGAAGATGAACCGCAGATATATCAGAGACACTGAAAGGTACTTATTAAAGCGAACAGAAGGACCCGTTCCACAGATCTCTTCCTCCCCTGACGCCGCGAGGCATTCCAGGAGTAGAGGAAAAAAGAAAGAAGAAATGATTCATTAAGCATTGGTGTAGCAACTGTGAATGCAATGAAAAAATCCTCCATGCCAGGGTTTGAAGTCAGCTTCTGGAAGCTTGGTAGCAGACTGCTTTGTGCTGATTCTGACAACAGTATGAGCATATTAATGTTCAGAAAGCAGTGGCAAACTACTAAAAATTGTCTAGTAGAATCACACAAACAGCAGAAAAGTTGACAGGGATGGACAAGAGATAGACTGCAGTGTAACTGGAAAGATAATATTGAGGGGTGAAAGAAAAGCAGTATGCCAGAGAGGGCATTTGGTTGATGGGCGGTGTGTAGGAGGTAGGTTGAAGCCAGGCTTCACTGTGGAGGTAGCACCTAGTTGACTGACTTGTTCTTTGTTGGGTTATTTTCTTCTTGTTTTGGCATTCACAGGCTGTAAAGTCCTGCTTGTTCATACGCTTCTGAACTTTAGTCCTATTCCAAAACTTGAGTTTTTAAGTGAGTTTTTCCATATTACAGATCTAGCTTATTTGTATGCAGACTGTTGTTCCCCGCCTCAGACAGATACACACGGACTTTGAAGGAAACACCTCTAATTAGTTGTCTTTTATGACATGCTTGTAAATAGGCAGTGGGTATTTTTTTTTTCCCAAAATAGGGGACACCTGAACTACAAGGACATTAGGTACAGTTTGATAGTGTTAGTTTTATGATGTCACTTTAATCATGTGTATGAAATAGTAACTGTGTGTTGTTGATTTCTCAACAGGCTGTAGCTGATGGCAAATGTGTTGGCGCAATAGTCTGCAAGCTGGACTTGCACAAGAAGATGGTGCGCAGGGGCTACATCGCCATGCTGGCTGTGGATTCAGAGTACAGACGCAGACAAATAGGTTTGTCTGTTTTTCTATTTTTTGCCCTGCTGCACAAAATATTGAGTTATGTGCTTTCACTTAAAGCTGGAGGTCTTGTAGTAAAGTAGTTACATCATATGCCTGAATGTTCTGGGTTTTTCTTTTTCTAATGTGTTCACCCATAAAAGGGCCGTTATCATGTTTTATGGTTTACAACTAGACTGTGATATCTGTGCCTTTAGGCCCATAAGTCAAACACATCCAGTTTAAGCAAATTCTTCATTTGTCATTTTTTACTTTATGTTATTTTTTTTTTTCCTTAACTCTTTGAGGGCGAGATTTTTTTTCTGAGCTTTGGACAGCATTAATTTTGAGCTGAATTTTTTTTTACTGTAACATGGCAAAGCTAAAACCTTCCTGAACAAAAATTATTGGCTGTATAGAGACATATATCAAATTCAAGATAAATGAGTGCCGAATAAATCTAAACTTTGAATTTCAGTATTACAACAAAATATTATTCAAAACACACAATATTTGAATGAACAAACAAACTTTATTTTCAAAGGGTTAAGAATTGAGCACACAGGCCCGTCTTACATTCTGCCCTTCTGGCCTAACGCCATGCGTACATATATATTCAAGAATGTTAGACGCATGTAAAGATTATTTACGCAAAATATTGTGTGCTTACCTTACTTTTTACTTGTTCAGCAACACTGCTATCCATTTCAATGAATTCACATGTCTTCTCTGTTCAATTATGTATCAGCTAGTCTTTATTTGAAACAGTTAATTTAAATACTTTGGATGTTATGACCATTTTTGTATGACATGTCAGATTTCACAACAACCAAAATCAGGAAAACAGCTGATCCCAAAACAGAGCTGATCAGATTGAAATCTTCTTTTCTGCCTTCATCCTTACCTATTTTTCGACACAGGTTTGGCGCATGCATTATCAATAAAAATATCAAAACTATTTCACTATCTGGCTGAGATTTAACAATGACAGAGCAGTTTTAACAGTTCTAGATTTATTCCCTCATCATTTGGCATGTAAAAACTTTATCACTTCTAAATAATTTTTTTTTCCATTTTTTTGGTTAATCAGAGAGCGACACAAATACCATGCCAAACGTTGGAAACGAAAGGACTTCCTGCCGCTAATCTTAATTTTTCAAAACAGTTCATTCAAATTCTTTTTTCCTCACAAAGAGAACAAAGTTTAAGTGTCTCTATTAAGCGCCTGTATGCTGGTCAAAAGTCCAATTGAGATAAATTCAAACACCATTTAACTAGCTAATAGTCTACAAAGAGTGTTTTTAAAAGTGGGAGCCTGAAACTGACATGGGGTGGGCTTTCATTTAAATCTGGCTGTCTTATGGCAAGGTACTTCAACTGCCTGAAGGTCATGAGTTTAGTTTCAGACTGTCTTTTGGTTCATGAGTGCAGTTGTTTCCGAGATCCTGGGGTTTGTCACTAAAGCTACAGTGCTTTATGCTATTTCTGTAAATTATGTTGTATAATGTGATCTCCACTTTTCTGCTCTACTTGTATGGGTGCTGATCAGTACAACAAAGAAGCACATTATTGAGGATACTGGCATTATCCTTGATAGTGGAAAAAGAAAAAAGTCACTGCTGTCTGTATTTATCATTGTTATGGCAGTTTATGGGGCTGTCGGGGGGGAAGGGAGAGGGGGGTCGGGGATCGTGAGCCTGATGATTTAAGGCCACTTGGTTAGAGCTGTCGCCACAAACTGTTTATTTTTGCCCGACAGAAAAACTCCATTACCTCACCGGCGATTGAGCTTGGGTCTCCCGCATAAGATCTTGAAAATGAAATCATTTGGCCAACCGCTCCACTGAAGCAGACATATGCCCTAAAAACTTAATGTTACGGCAGGATAAACCAGGCCCTTAGCCTTGGTTGGCAGCTGGTCTGGGAGGGAAGCTCTGACAGGTGGACGTAGCACTGCTTTTATGATCAGGTTGCTTTTGCAGTATACTTTGTTCCCAAACAATTAGTGTTACTTTTCCTGTGGAATAAACAAAGCAGGTTGAGAGAGGCATCGTGCTGCACTGGCAGCACATTGTATCTAGAGGACTGCCCAGGTTTGTTCAGTGGAGAGAAGGAACTTCATCCCTTTCTTAGATTCCACGCCCATACTATAGCACAACACCTGGGAAGATGGAAAGTGCCAGCGACAGATATGTGAAATTGTGGCATTTCATACACGTAAGGATCTATTGCATGTACTGTAGATTGTCACATTACAACCCATCTATATCATTTATAATTGCATCCTGATAATTTATTGATAAGTTTGGTTGATAATACCTGCAGGTTCTACACTGGTGACAAAAGCTATTGAAGCAATGATCAGAGATAACTGTGATGAGGTAGGTATCTGGAAGCATGTCCAGTTTTGATTGGTGATGTTTAGCAGTTTTTAAATTAATAATTCCTCATGGTTTAAAAAAATCAGATTTCTGTAAATGTCCCTAGGTTCAAGACTCCACTATCCGACACTGTGACCCTAAATCCTTGAGGTTAAGGCCTTCCCCTGGGGGGTTCCAGGGTCCGCTTTAGGGGAGTGGGGGGATAGACCCCCGATACTGTAATAAGCATGACATCAAACTCGATTAAATAAGGGTGTTTCCTTCAAAGTCGGGAGTGCCTTTGCCTGAGAAGCAAGGAACTAACAGTCTGTATACAAATAGCAGATCTGTAAAAGGGATGTGCACGCAACACTTAAGTTGTAGAACAAGACTATAGTCCAGAAGTAGACAATGTGCACGCAACACTAAAGTTCTAGAACAAGACTAAAGTCCAGAAGTAGGCAATGTGCACGCAACACTAAAGTTCTAGAACAAGACTAAAGTCCAGAAGTAGACAATGTGCACGCAACACTAAAGTTCTAGAACAAGACTAAAGTCCAGAAGTAGACAAACAACCAGAACTTTCCACCGAAGCTTACAGCCGGTGAATGCAAGAAAGAAGAAATCCACAATTAGGCAGATTTTTTCTTAACAAATTGACCTTGGCTAAAGTGGGTGCCAGTTAGTGTCATGGGAAATAAAGGTAGCCAGGTTATGTTAACTCTTTCAGATGAACATATCGGGAGGAATCAACATGATGAATGGATGTACTATAAAGAGGCTGAATTCATTATGAAAGTGGACTATTTGGAGGCCAGATTTTTAGTATGCTCTGGTCAGATGTGGTAACAGTTGTCTCTGCCTTATGTGCCTCTGGGGGTGTGGTGCGATGAGCATTGATTGATTGATCAGACATAAAATGTTACAGAACACATTAGGCTGTATTTAAGATTAAAAGGAGAGGATATTTTCACATACCATGCATACCAAGTCCTCCATCAACAGTGCCACTGACATGAAAAGGGCCCTTTGCTTACTTTGTTTACACATACATGCTACCACTCCATCATGACAATGTCTGGTGTGTATTTTCTTTATATTATTATGTACTTCTTAAATACACTGTGACATTTAATATTTAAGGCATATTTCACTGCTTCGTCAGGTACATTATTACATAATTTACATCGGCATGTAATGAGGCACCAAAATTGAAAAATGGGTAAAAGGGTAAAGTCGGGAGATGTGAACAAGCGTCATTGCACACGGTTATAAACCTTAAATGCTCTGTTACCAATACCGACAGCTGATAAGAAACTGTCCGCCTGTGTCGCCGTCCGCAACTCCGTAGCTACAGCGACGTTCCTCTGTTTACCCCAGAGCGTTAACTCTGGTACCCATTACCTAGAGGCTGGGTAAACCCCAGGAACCACCTGGTTTCAAACACCGGGTGTGGGCTGCAAGCGAGTCACAGCTGGATTTAAAAGCGAGTCTCCCTATCGACTGCGCTAACGCAGCCCCCAAATGGAAAATGGGGTATATACTCAATTCGCCTGAAAGCGTGGAAAAGGATCCTTTCCTTTTTCACCCGGGGGGGGGGGGGGGGGGGGGGGGGGGGGGGGGGGGGGGGGGGGGGGGGTGGGGAACAGGGTTGTTGCTCTGCACACCACACCATGGTAGTCTTAGATAAACCATGTGATCTTTTTGTTTACACAGTAATCATATTGTTGTTTTTTTCTGGTCACATTCCATCTAGGTTGTCCTGGAGACAGAAATCACCAATCAGGGTGCCCTTCGCTTGTATGAGAACTTAGGCTTTGTCCGAGATAAACGGTTATTTCGGTATTATCTGAATGGTGTGGATGCCTTGAGACTCAAGCTTTGGCTGCGGTGATAATTTGTGCTTACACTTTCTTGCATTTTTTTTTTCTTTTCTGAATGTGTGTGTTTTTTTTCCCTCTGCCTTTAAGTGTGTGGTGTAGCAGTTAGAGGCTCACCTGCGGATCCCAAGGTCCTGGGTTCAGGTCCCGGTGGAGCTTGAGTTTGGCTTCCAGGACGACCCAGCCTTAACTCTTTGAGTCCCAGGGGGTTTAGCATCACAGGCCCAGGCGGTAGTAAAGAAAGTAATAAAATCGGCGCATCATGCGTTCAATGGGCTTCTAGGTAGGAACCTATGAACGTATGATGCATTCCTTGGGACTCAAAGAGTTAAGTGGTTACCAGGAAAAGTCATGGGAAATAAAGTCTCAATACGTTTGAAAGCGTGGAGATGGGTCCTTCGCTTTACTTAAAATATTTTGCTGAATGAAGTGACTGAAAAATTATGGTATAGTTCATTGAGTCCAGTGGTGTTGTTTTGTGCTGTGTGACTGAGAATAATTTTAACATTTGTATTGTAACTTCCATGGCTTAGGCGCAGCAAATCCGACTCGACTGTCCAACTTATCGCGATCGAAACCCACTGCTGGCTGCGTGGATTTTTATCATGGTATGGGGCGTCGCAGGTTGACCCAGCCTTAAATGGGTGCCAGGTTGTATGTTTTAGAAAGTAAAGACAGCCGACGTAATGCTGACCACATTACCTACCTAGTGCCGATTGATCTGTAAAAATATGGGTGCTCTTCCATATGCCCGATGCGCCTAAGACGTGAAAATGAATCTTTACTTTTTTTATTGTAACTTCCAAAGTAATGTGTGGAAAAAAAATCATTTTTTTACAAAGGGAATAATAACCTGATGCGGACACTGCTGTGTAGGTGTCTAAAATATTAAAGTCATGGCATTATGAAATTGATTGGTCAGTTTTATTCCACACCACCTTTTCCTCCTTCAGCTCGGTCTGATACCTACCAGCTGTACTGTTCTGAAGTTAGCATAGCATAATAATTATCAGATGAAAGATAATGTGATAATAAATATGCTTACTGTTTCAACAGGTAATCACTGAGTCCAAGAATGTTGTCCTTTGCTTTGATTGTTCATCTTGTTCCATGTTTACTAATTCAGGTGCATATTCTTCATGGCAGTTGTGGATGTGTTTTTGTTTTATTTATTATTTAACAAGAGAGACAGAGTCAGCTATGGGATGTTGCAACATCCAGCATGAGAATGGAGGTGGAGGCTGTGATTGCAACTTTCCTTGCTAATGTTGAGAGGGTCGACATCATTAACCTGATGATCCCATTTGGCTCGGTCTGCCTCTGCAGAATGACTAGCAGCCACTTGCTGTTTGCATTGTACAAAGCATGAACTCCATAGCTACAACATGATCCCCAAGGATCTCTATAAGAAACTGCTCTCCAGACCTGAGCAATGCATCCTTGAAATGAACCCACAGAGGTTGAAGCAAACAGCTAGCTGGCTTCTCCATGGAGTTGCCCAGTTGTCCATGATTGGTGGATTGTATACAGCCTGGCACATATATTTAATCAAGCTCACAGAGCTTTCTTCGTGAAAATAGAAACTAGTATCATACACATGGAGTCGTTTGAATTGCTTACTGGCCTGGAGGGTTTCATGAATTCTCTGTCCTGGCTATGTTAATATGTGTGGGATATGAGCAGAGGGAATATATTGGTTGCTGCCTATTCTCTTGGCAGTGAGCTACTTTATGATAAGTCTGACATGGTGAAGGCTCTCTGGAAACAAATGGAATCTGTAGCAGGACAGAACATGTATGCATGGTGAGTGTGATTCATCAGGGAATGAGCAGAGAAAATGAAGGCAGACTTTTGCAGGTTTTCACTTGTTCAGTCTGCTTGAGAACTTTGCTTTGCCTGCTGAAGATGGGAATGGAAATTGTATGGAAGTGTCCAGCCTGAGTTCGGTCAAGTCTGTTCTTCTCAGAATCATTTGTTCATTCTCATATTGTGTCTACCCAGTGCTCGAGCATTCAGTTTGCACTTATTGCTTCATGATATGGCTTAACTCCATGCTTTATGAGCGTTTATAAATTGATTTCTTTTGTGTCCGGTTGTTAGAACTTTATACTGAGTAGAAACTGTAGAAATATGGTTTAAAGAAGAATGAGCATTTTACCATGGGCAGATAAACAGCTTTGAGGTATCTGAGAAAGGTAGTCTAAATGATGAGAAGGGCCAAAGCCCGCAACCAGACAATACCTTGTGATCTTGAAACCTAGACCTTAAAACAAGTTAATCAGTCACCATGGTTTGGTCATGTATGCAGAATGGGAGAGATTCAACCGCCACAGCAAACATGGGAGGACAAGAACCAGGAAACAGACCTCAAGGGCGGCTTAGGGTTTGCTGGGAAGACAAGATCCTACAGTCCCTGACTAACAGGACTAGAGTGGACCAAAGCCAGAAAGAAAACTGCTGATAGAGACGTCTGGCGATCCTCAATACCTCGTGGTCAAAGAGAACTGGCTAAATAAGTTTTGTTTTTCTTGCTGTTTTTAGTCTCAGTTGAGTTCTGCAGCAGCTTATTGCTGAGAGTGACAAACTGAGATTTGCGTGCTAGAAACAAATATAACTTGGGTGACTATATGTTTCATTTTACTTTGATTTGATTCAAGAACCGACATCCCAGCACTCGGGGCATTCCCATAAGCGCTCTGTCCCCATCTTCATCAGCCATTTTACCTAGGAACAATTAAAGGGTGTGGTCACCCTACATAACATAACCCTTGATCCGTTTGGGTTGTATCAGTGGAAGCACTATGACACAATCACCCCCCTCCCCCTTTTTTTCTCTGACTTCCACTTGTTGAACAAGTGTTTAAGTCTTGTTCATTTCTTGATGTTGTCTTTTCCGTGTTCTTCTATGCGCCCCCCCCCCCCCCCCCCCTCCCCCCTGTTTTTTCTCTGACTTCCACTTGTTGAACAAGTGTTTAAGTCTTGTTCATTTCTTGATGTTGTCTTTCCGTGTTCTTCTATGCGCCCCCCTCCCCCTGTTTTTTCTCTGACTTCCACTTGTTGAACAAGTGTTTTAAGTCTTGTTCATTTCTTGATGTTGTCTTTCCGTGTTCTTCTATGCCCCCCCCCCCCTCTCCCCCTGTTTTTTCTCTGACTTCCACTTGTTGAACAAGTGTTTAAGTCTTGTTCATTTCTTGATTTCTTGATGTTGTCTTTCCGTGTTCTTCTATGCGCCCCCCCCCCCCCCCCCCAATGTATGTCAGAAAATATGTTTGTATTGTTGAAAGACAAATTTCTGTCTATTCCAAATCAGCTGCTTTAAATATTTTAAATTTTTAACTGGGGGGGGGTCCATGGCGAAGCAATCAAGCTGCTTGCCTCAAGTTCTGAGAGACATGGATTTGTCTCAGGGCTGTGTCATACATTCACGAGTGCAGTTTTCATGTAGATCCTTTGAATTGTTGCTGGAGCTACTAAGTTCGTACTTTGTGCTATGATCTCAGCATGCGGCTAGCCGTTCTGCGGAGACACACCGAGCCATGCGGGATAAAAACCAGCACAGTGAAGTCGATTCTCTAAACTTTGACCTGCGAATATTCTCATTTTGAATTAATGACTGCCTCTGGGCGACAATATTTGACGTTCATGATAACTGTTTTTAATGAAGGCTTACTTTTTTCTTTTTTTTTCATGTTTCTGAGATGTGGTTTGTTAAGGTTTTCTGGAGAAGAAATGTATTGTGTCTACATGCGAAGCCTTTTTGTCGAATGAAGTTTGGTGAATTAAAATTAGTATACAAAGTTGTTACTTTGACTTATTTTATCCAGAGTAGTTGAGACTTGAAGAAATTGGAGCGGCTGGCCGAATGGTTACAAAACTGCAGGGGTCTTATTCTGGAGACCCGGGTACGAAGCCTTGTTAAGATGGTGGATTTTCTGTCAGGGCAAAAATAAAATCCAGACCTGCTCAGTCCATGGTGACTGCATTAGCTATGTGACCCTAAATACTCAGGTTCAACTCCCCCTCCCCATTTTTTTAAATTTCCATCCCATACTGGAATATACCAGTAGGGACACACTGGAATATAGCAATAGGGACATACTGGAATATAGCAATAGGGACATACTGGAATATAGCAGTAGGGACACACTGGAATATAGCAGTAGGGACACACTGGAATATAGCAGTAGGGACACACTGGAATATAGCAATAGGGACATACTGGAATATAACAGTAGGGACATACTGGAATATAGCAATAGGGACATACTGGAATATAGCAATAGGGACATACTGGAAAAAGCAGTAGGGACATATTGGAATATAGCAAAAGGGACATACTGGAATATAGCAGTAGGGACATACTGGAATATAGCAAAAGGGACATACTGGTATATAGCAGTAGGGACATACTGGAAAAAGCAGTAGGGACATACTGAAAATATAGCAATAGGGACATACTGGAATATAGCAGTAGGGACATACTGAAATATAGCAATAGGGACATACTGGAAATATAGCAATAGGGACATACTGGAATAATCTAAGTCAAGGAAGGAGGACATCTTTTAGCCTTGAGTCACTTAACTAGTTTTTTCTTCAGAAGACTTACTTCAGGGGTCAGTGGCCTTGATGAAAGCTATTGTGCTGTCCATATCTCCCTGTGGCATACAGCTTTTTTTTTTTTTTTTTTTTTTTAAACTGAGGTTCGGAACAGGCTTAACTGTTAGCGGATTACAGTTACAATGCTGGAAGTACCTGTCAGCATTTTCAGATGCCCAAGTTGCAGGGGCACATCATGTTTCCTATCCCGAAGAAGCTGAACATATATTGCTAGTCTGTTGTTTCCTGTCCTTAGTCTGAATATGATAATGACCCCTTTCTTTAGATGTGATGAAGCGAGTTTTGAGGAGCATATTTGGTGTGGGCATCCAGTCACCTTTCTTGGATACTAGTTTTTAGTCTGCTTGTGGTTAAGTCACAATTTGACTGCACCATGGTCGATCTGCTATTTTATTACATTCCAAGCCACATATTCTGGAATCTACTTAAGAGACATATAAATCGGAGTTGCCAGTGAAATAAAGATCTGTATTGATTGGTAGAGAGCTGTTGTGGTTAAGTCACAATTTGACTGCACCATGGTCGATCTGCTATTTTATTACATTCCAAGCCGCAGTATTCTGGAATCTACTTAAGAGACATTTAATCGGAGTTGCCAGTGAATTAAACATCTGTATTGATTGGTAGAGAGCTGTTGTGGTTAAGTCACAATTTGACTGCACCATGGTTGATCTGCTATTTTATTACATTCCAAGCCACAGTAACCTGGAATCTACTTAAGAGACATAAATTGGAGTTGCCAATGAATTAAACATCTGTATTGATTTGTAGAGGGCTGTTGTGGTATAGCAGCTAGACGCTCGCCTGGTGATTGGAAGGTCGTGGGTTCGGGTCCTGACAGAGCCGGACTTTATCCAAAAATTGACTGTTTGACCTGGCCAGGAAGTTAAGGTGACCACATCACCCACTCAATGCCGATTGATCTATAAAATATGTCTAGCCCTGACTGCATACCCAATACGCCTGAAAACATGGAAAAGGGGCCTTTACTTACTTTCACTATTGATTGGCAATCTAAGATTTACTGATGAAGTTTATCTTATGGCTGTAGGAGAATCAGAACTCTAAGGTTGGTGGCGTATCCTTCACAGGGCGTTGCAGAACCAACCGCAACAGCTCCTGGCTGTTTGTGTGGTTTTTCTAGGCACATTTATGTCCAGTAAATTGCCATTGCTTTCTGGACCAGAACTCTAAGAGCTTCCACAAATGAGTTTAATGTTTCCCGGTGTGGGTTCTAGGCAGCATATTGGGAGCTTAAAAAAAAAAACACCCACTCTGCCCCTAACGTGCACGCCATAAAAAGACTAGTTAGGGGCATTTTCTTCCGAGGGTGCATCCTCCTCAGAAGCAAGGAATCAAGTCTGTTCAAATAAGCCAGATATGTAAAACAGTTTCCCCATGTGGGTTCTAGGGCCCCAATATAGGGAAAACAAGAATAGACCCACTGCCTCCCCAACAAGCCTGTTGTAGAAATCGACTAATTAGGGGCTTCCATCGAAGTCGGTGTATATCTGCTCAAGAGATAAGGAACAACCAACTGCACACAAATAAACCAGTAAAACAGATTTACATGCAAAACTCAGGCCCTGGCACAAAGCCAAAGTTCAGATGGACAAAAGCCAAAGTTCAGATAGACAAACAACCAGGAGTTGAAAGCCTTGTTACTAGAAGAAGAAGATTACAAATTCGTGCACACAACATTTGAGTTCTGGACAAAGGCCAAAGTTCAGAAGTGGACTGATAGCTTTAATTTTCTGCCAGAGTTAACTCTTTGAGTCCCAAGGAACGCATCATACTTATATAGGTCCCGTCTAGAGGTCCAATGAACACAAGATGCGCCGATTTTACATCTCTTTTGACTACCCCTTGGGCCTCTGATGCTAAACCCCCCTGGGACTCAAAGAGTTAATCAGCGAATGCAAAGAGAAAAAGGTACAACAATACTGGGCAATATTGCCTAACTTAAAACAACACAGATAAGAAAAACCAAACGCTAGACCCAGGAAGGTAGACCAGTATTTCTTAACAGAAAAAACAACACAGGCATACGAATAATTATTACAGCACAAAAATATATTATATATACTTTTTGCCTATTTTTTTCACCATCATTCACTCAACAAAAATTGTTCAAAAGCAGGTTTGTCATGCATACAAAATTTCTCATTGTAGTTTGTTCATGCTCTAAGTAACTTTATCAATTAAATTCAAATTAGAAGATAACACATGTGAAAAGAAAACATCATCTTAATTCACTCTCTAATAACTACACTGACTCTCTTATAAAATTGGCAGTCTGTCTTAGCTCCTTTGGTCATCTTACAATTGCTCATACACCAAAGTCAGGCTTGGTCACATTGCTGCTCTGCACTTCTTGTGTTACTAAGTCTCGACAGCCTTGTTAGGAAGAATCTTCTACAGTTAATGCATGAGATTTCACGCCAATTGTTATCATCACAAGTACCTGGCGTGTTCTTCTCAGACAAACAGCTCCTAACCTATCTGTAATCATCTTAACTTTTATCCCTATTGCTTTTATGGTTTTCCCCACGTTCAGCTCCTAGCCTATTTGTAATCACTTTTACCTTTTCCCCTATTCCTTCCATGGTTCCCCCCCCCCCCACCTCTTCTGTGCCTAGTCCCCATTGCTAACATAATCTGACCTTTGAGAAAAGCCCACAGCTAACCTGCATGTGCATAGAAGGTTTTGATTAACTACTGTCACACTCAGGGGTATATGATCTATAATCAAATAAGCAGACAATTGTCTCCTTCTTAAAGTCCATGCCGTGTGGTGTTGGTAGTCATGTCTGTCCACAACCTTCTGTCTCGTGTACTTTCAATCAACTCTGACACAGATGATGTTCTATGCCATGATGTCAAACTGTCCAGCATCTTTTCTCTCGGCCTCCCTGTGTCTCTCCTTCCCTCCAGCTTTCCTGCTGTCACATGTACTCCAGATCTCTCCTTATCTTAGATTGTCTCTTTCTAAAGTGGATAATCAGTTGTCTCTGTGAGTCAGTTTCTTTCAAGACATCATTTCTCTTTTTTATCGGTCCAGGGTATTCTCAGCAATCGTCCCCATCAATTGTCCCTTGTACAAAATATAAATTGCAGACTGGTAAAAAACAATTCATCGCAGAAACAAAAGTCTCATACAATATAGAAAAATAATACCACAGGTTTTTCCAGTAAACAAGCCAAAATAATATTTAGTACTTCATATTGTCAGCTCGACTGCAGTTTCCTCTATTTACATCATCAAAAAAAAAATAATAAAGAATGCCTGGATAAAACAATAAATCTGGCACCACATTCATCTACTGAAAACTGCTCAACTAAGGGGCACATTATAACAATAGACTAACTTACCAGAACCTTCAAATTTAAGACTACAAATAATTTTTTACAAGTACTGAATAGTGACAGTGTTGTCGAACCTTTAATGGATAATTTGTGACTGAAGGTGCTGTATTTTCAAATGAACTCACAGAAAAGAAAGAAGGCAGGTTTCAGCATGCAAGACAATACAATAAAACCTCGTATAAATGAATTCCAATGGATCAAAAACTAAATTTGTTAAAACAATTGATGCTAACCCGAGACTAATATTAATAACACATCCATGCTGAAACCAAAATTTTGTTCATGTTAACTGGGTGTTCTTCTTAAAGCAAGTTCATGTTATCAAGGGTTTACTGTACCTGAAAAAAAAAGTTAAGAAATAGTTCAGCCTGTTTTACAGCAAGTATTTGTTAAAACACTGTGCACTGATGGGCACTTACAAAGAAAAAGATAATAAGATAAAAGTAGGAAAACAGGCATAGTTACAAATCAGATGTGGAGTTCTGATATTTTACATTCTCAAATGTGAAAAAAAGAAACATCTTGGTCACTTCATGACTAAGGCAGCCGCAGCGTAACTAACTGAAGAATCATGGGATGTTTCACACTGACTTGACTGCGCATATTTCAAGAACCTCAACTCCATCTTGATGCCATTGCTTGTGCGCTTTAGGTGATCAATTGCCTGAAACATAATGGCAAATAGCAAGGATTTTAGGATAAAGGTAACTGGAGTGGGGGACGGGGTAAAATATCTTTTTCTTCTTACTGTTTACCATCTATGAACTCCAACTGGAAATTTATGGTTGCTCATCCACTTCTGGACTTTAGTCTTGTTCCAGAACCTGAGTGTTGCCTGCACATCCATTTTATAGATCTGACTTCTTTGTATGCAGACTTCTGGCTACTTGCCTCTCAGGCAGATGCACTCCGACTTTAAGGGAAACATTCCTAATTAGTTGCCTTGTATGACATGCTTGTTGGAGGCGCAGTCTCTTAACCGTCACAATGGCTATGGCCACCAACTAGTAGTCACTGTCCAGAAGGAAAGCAATGGCAAAACTACCTTCTGCAAAACTTGCCAAGAAACCATAATAGCCATAAAAGAAAACATAATAAGAAAGAGATCTGGTGGCGAAACCCCAGGCCAGGCAGACACACTGGGGAAGAGTGTGTCACAGGGACCAGTACTAGTAAGGGGACAGACATAACCACAAAAAATAGATTTATAAGAGCATACATCTTTCCCATTGCAACATACCTTTGTGATACCTGGACAATTAAAAAAGGGTAAAGAAAAGAACAGATGCATCCATACTTCAAGAACTGAATACTGAAGAAGGTTGGCTATTAAAGATGATAAAACAGAAAAGTTAAATATTTTGGTCACTTGAAATGTCACAAAAGTTTAGAGAAAACAATAATGGAGGGATATATGCCTGGGAAGGCCAAAGAGAAGATGGGTGCAGGATGTGGCAAGATGATCTCCAGATGGCTGTATCAGACGCGGGACATCTTGCTTGTGATCGAGAAGTTTTCCTGAAGGCTGTTATGGGAGCAAGGTTCTGCAAAGGACAGGCTCCTGACTCACTGACCTACACTAGGAAAAGTACTACACAGAAACTGTGTTGGAATATGCATGAGACCGGCAAGCCTCATCTGGTCAACAAATGCCAGCTGAAGTCCGATGTGTCGGTCGAAAGGAGTAAATATCGCAGCCATGCTGTAAACTAGGACAACACAATTGCATCTTCAAATGAATGCAGAAGATCAGCATGAGAGGTTTGGATAAGCAGACTATCAGGGAGCAGGTCGCCCACTGATTTGCCAGGGGACAACTTTGTCGCCGGTTGGGATAGTATTTGGGTCTGTCTTCTCTGACCGCATGAACACTGCAGGAGTCCTTTAAGTGGCGTGCATTGCTATGCCATTTTGGCACACACAACCTAGTCGCAGTTGTAACCTAAAGCTCCCCCTTGACGGATGCTGGCTGAATGTGACTTATTTCTTCTAGCTAATCAACAAAATGTAAAAGCAGATGAAGCCAAGCAGTCCTTCTAATGACAGAAGAAAACAGTAGGTAAAGGATAAAACATGGTAAAACATTTTATTTCCATGCTTTGGGATGTGCTGAGTGGTGACAGTACCATTTTTTTGGTAGACCCACTGGCCACATTTACCCTGGCTGTCTTAGAGCTTTGAGAAGGGGGGAAAATACGAGCTGAATTAAGAATGGACATCAAAACACTTGGGACATTCTCGTAAGTGATCAGTCACCATCTTAAACAGCAAGGGCAGAGTTCCCATTCTGCTGGCGCCAGTAACAGTCTGGTCATACATGCATTTCACCTTTCCTTTGAGTGTTGCTTTGACATTAGCCACGTGGCCCTAAGTCCACCGGCTCAAAGACCCCGTGCCTACACTGCCGAAGTGGTTAAAAACAGACAGTAATGGTAAGTTTTTTTCTGGCAGCTGAGCGTCGGCTAGATCCCTGGTAACTGCTCGCAGCACCATTCTCAAATTGCAGTGACGATCTATTTGTGCCTCCGCACTGTTCACTCACTCCCAAAGGACCCTTACAACATCTAGCTTGTCTGCATCGATTCACCACCAAGTGGTGCAGAACCGGCCACTATCTGCCATACACTGTGAATACATGAGTACAACATCACAATGGGGAAAGAGAGGCAGACAGAGAAGATGTACATTTTGGCATCTGCCAACAATGTATGCTAATTTAAATACGTACATTAAGCAAGACACCAATAGGATGTCGACCACATATCGTGTTCTGGTATGTCTGAAGGTACTTGGTGAAAGCTGGTGGATCCATTTTTTCTATAATATCCATGCCCTGTAGATTTCAAACACAGTGTCACAACAGAGTAGCAAATACAGCAGTCTAGCTGACAACGGGCATACCTAGGGTTGCCAGATTGTAAAAGGTAAGAAAAAAAAACAGAGTGACAACTTGTCTATTAATGTTTTTATAGGCTATATATAAAATATACATAACACACTAAACTGATTCCATAGGAACGACAAAATGGAGGAATCTGGAGTATCTGGCAACCCTGGGCAAACCAGAATTTTCTACCTATTACAGCCATATAATCATCTGGCTCTGTGCCATGTAAATATGTTAGTGTTTGTCGGATTTTAAATGTCAAATGTTATGAATTCCTGAAGAAACCTGGACAATAAACACATAATTATTAGCTTAAATTGAGTCCCTTGAGATGCAAATGTGAGGAAAAATAAGCTGTATTTAGTTGAAATACAATTTGATCTTCTTTTTCGCATTCACCAGCTGCAAACTCAGACGCAAAGCTCTGGTTGTTTGTCCACCTCTGGACTTTTAGACTTGTTCTAGAACCTAAGTGTTGTGTGCACATCCATTTTACAGATCTGACTTCTTTGTATGCAGATTGCTGGTTCCTTGCCTCTCAGGCAGATATGCTTCGACTTCGAAAGAAGCCTCCAAATAGTTTACTCCTATCACTGTATTCGCACAGCATCAGATGAATACAGTAACTAAAACTAGCATGGGGGGAGGGGGGAGAGAGATCATGGGAACCAATCAGATTTTATAAAAGAAATGTTCTTATAAGCCTCGGTGATAGCGGTCATGGTATGAGTCACTTGATACATTCCTTCTTCTTCTTCTTTGCATTCGCCAGCCACAAACCCCATTGGAAAACTGTGGTTGTTTGTCCACTTCTGGATTTTGTTTTTGCACCGCATGCATACACACACTTTACAGAGCTGCCTTAGTTGTATGCAGACTACTGGTTTCTCACTTTACAGGTAGAGGTAATCCCGACTTTTTAAAAAAAACACCCTAAATAGCCGCCTCTTACAAAATGTCTGTAGGAGGCTGTAGGTCTTTTTTTTTTTTTTAAACCAAAACAGGGCTTTTGGAAACATGATACTGGCACGGCTTCAGGCCCTTGGAAATGTTTTCAACGTAATGCTTTACTCTGTTCATGCATTTTGATTACATCCTTTAAATATTTGTATATATTTTAGAAAAAAATATACTAAGCACGTAGACAAGCACATTAAAAAAAAATTTTATCAATGATCTGTGTAACAAATTTTATTTTTCGGGAATCCCCACAAGAGTATGACCCATTCTTTTTGAAGCTTCCCTGTGGTGACTGGGATTAACTGGCATTCATGAATTGGTGAGTCTCCCAAGAACTGCTTGCTCAGTGTCTTGGTGCCCGGGATATGATTTGTAACTAAAAATAGCAGGGGGTTGCTATGAATAAAATGGCTTTTTAAACATGATGACATTACTGTTAGCTGCAGATTTGATTCGGAATGTTTTTTGACAGTTTCACTGCCGATTCATAAAATAGCAAGCACTGATCTGTTGCAGCTGCCAATTAACACTGACCATGAACTGCAGTTCTAGTGCCGGACTCTTTGTGCTGATATTTCTGCTGGCTGCCTTATACTTAAAATGTGCGTGCATGCTGTTGGCTTTGCTGAGACTGCAGCCTGTGTCATTTTTTTTTTTTTTCACAAGCGAGTGATCTTGGGCACTCTATGCGGTTTTCGTTGGCACATAAATGGAGTAATTATGGGGTGGCCCATTTGCTGTGAAGCCGATACTGCAATTATCTGATTACACAAGATTCTTAGCTTTCCTTATATTTGTTAAAAACTGATTACAAAACTTACAAACTCTTATTTACAATCTGAAAAACTAAAATATAGAAGAAATTCTAATGAAAGAAACAAATGTAAAACAAAATCAAAAAAAAAGATTACCAACCATCTTATCCAGAACCTCAATAGACTGCCAGATTTTTCCATGGGATTTTTCGTAGTAAGTATAAGCAAATCTCTTGCCTTGAGGAGAGTGGATAATATAATGTTGGTCAAACAATCATAACACACAACAATTCTGAAAACAATTGCATATATAAGGTAAGAGACTTCAGGTCTTGAAGTGTGGTTCGCTTCTGGCCGAAAGTATGCCAATATGGATGATGGTTTCCATTGCCCCTTAACAAGAATATTGTTTTAGGCTAATTATGTGTTTTCCTTTAAAGTCAGAGTGCATCTGCCTGAAAGGCGAGGAGCCAGCAGTCTGTAAAAAAGGTAAGCCAGATCTGCAAAATGGATGTGCACCCAAACCTCAGATCCTTAAACAAGACAAAAGTCCAGAACTGGAAAACATAAAAGTTTACAGCCAGTGAAGATGAAGACAAAGAATAAACTCTGGCAAAAAGTCCTGGTTGTTCATCTATAACCTGACTTCAGTCTTGCTCCAGGACTTGAATGTTGCATGCACAGCCATTTCACAAATCTGGCTTACATGTAAACAGACTGCTGGTTCCTTGTTTTGCTGCAGATACACTCTTGACTATGAAACATCAATGTGGCTATGTTAGCCAGTTCCCAGTAGGGAACCTATTTCTAGGATGACCACGGAGAAGTTCAGATAAGTTCTGACCATCCTCGTGTGGGTTCCAGGGCCCCATTATGTGGAAAACAAGAAGCATGTAGAAAAAGTCAACTAATTGGGGGTTTCCTTCAAAGTCAGACTGCATCTGCCTGAGAGGCAAGGAACCAACAGTCCCCATACAAATAAGTCAGATCTGTAAAACGGATGTGCAGGCAACACTCAGGTTCTGGAACGAATCAACAAAAGTTCAGAGGTGGGTGAACAACCAGAACTTTCCGCTGGAGTTTACAGCTGGTGAATGCGAAGAAGAAGAAGAAAGAAGTTCTGACGTCTGAGTCCTGGTGCACCAACAGCACCACCATATATGATGTGGAGAGCCCATGTAAATTAGTTTAAACTGCCTCAATGAGAATTTGCATCCTTTCCTCACATAATACCAAGAAAAATACTTTTACAAAATGATATTACAACAGTTTTCTCAATACTGAGTTCAAGAAAGCTCAGGTGGCTGGGTCACACTTGAAGAATTGAGGAGTTCCTAAGGAAATCCTTTATGGCGAATAACAGATGGGTAGATGTTGAGGCCAACTTCTCCTATAATATAAAGATATGTGCAAGCAGGGCATGAATGATACAGGTAGTGAGGTGGATTTGTGGGAATAAAATGCCATGGACCGTGTTGCCTTCAGGGGGCAAATCAGAAATGGAATGAGAGTGAAGGCAGAAATGAGTGCAGAAAGGATGAGAGCTGAGCGTCTGAGAAGAAACACGCTAAATACATATGGTGGCAACAACGGTCCTGATATTCCATGCTCTAATTGTGGAAGACATTTCTTAACTAGGGCGGGTCTTGCTAGCCATGCTCGCCATCACCTGCCTCCTCATAGTAATATATAACACTATCGTCTGGAAAGACGGAAAGATGTCAACTGAACTGAAACTAAGTAAAATATAAAAATCAACCAACCTGCTGCCTACAATGTAAGGGCTGGCAACAAGAGATCTCAAAGAAGCTACCACTGTTATTTCAATACAGTGCAGATTGCTTAAGGCAATTTCAGGTGTGGTCAGCTTCTGTTGTGAAGAACAATTTGTTTAATCCCCTGCAATTTTTCTTGCTTCTTATGTGGGGAAGATGAATTTCTGACAAGAAGAAACATTTTTTGGGGTCCCCATATTTTATTTTATTCTTCCATTTGTATCACTGTCTGCCTCTTGCTTGCTTGCCTTTAGTCCTTCCCTTCTGTATAGTGTTTACAAAAGTGCTATATGTCTTCTAATATGGTCAAAATAACTTAGAATTTAACTTGAAAGCTATCTAGGCTGTTAAAATCTCTGGAGAATCTCTTACCCCAATGACAAAAATCTGAAGAGATGACAAACAGATTTCCTGGATCATGAAGATATGGACTAAGTATCTGTCCATATTTAGCTTCTTTGTCTGGAGATAAAGACCCAACTAGGATTGGCACAATGGTAAATTGACCTTTTCGACTGTAAAAAAAAGACAGATTGATACAGCTGTTATTTAAACATGTGGAACCAGAATGGCACATCTTTTACTATTATCTTCCTTTTTTATGTCTAAATATAACATCATCACAGCAATACTGTTATCTTGCCGTCCTTTTTAGGATACAATTTTTCGTTATTTGAAGCCCTACTCTGGCTCATGCCAGGGGCCGCAATATAGCCCGGTTATAAATATGGCCTGATGGCTAAACGCGGTTTCTGGGACCTCTCCGCGGTGATCCTCACCCGCATGGTGACACATTGTGTAATCGGGTGTTTGTCGCTTGTGTGATGTCCTGGTGGGAGTAGAAAGTCAGTCAGTCAATATAACATCATCATGTCATCAAATTCAGTCATCCCCTTGTGAGATGCAATTTTTCGTTATTTGAAGCCCTACTCTGGCTCTTGCTAGGGGCCGCAATATAGCTCGACCATAAATATGGTCTAATGGCTGAACGCGGTTTCTGGAACCTCACCACGGGTGATCCTCATCCACATGGTGGCACTTTGTGTCATCAGGTGTTTATCGCTTGTGTGATGTCCTGGTGGGGTAAAAGAAGATAGAGAGATATAACATCATCAACAACATGATATGACTCTGTCAGATGATTTCATGACCCTCAACCGACCTGAAATATTTCATGCACAGTGCCAACATGGGACTTTCATATTATATTCATTCAGAGGATACTAAGAACCAAACTGTTTTCAAAAATGACCTCGGACCTTGGTTCACATGTTGATTGGGTGAGTACCAAGTGCAGTCCTGGGAAGTAAAGGAAGCTAGCGTGATGCTGACCACATCTCCCGCTCAGTGTCGAGTAGTTTATAAAATTTATGTCTGATATGCCAGAAGGCGAGGAAGAGGGTCCTTTACTTTACTTTTTACAGATCATACTAAAGAAATTGTCTTTCCAAGTGCCCATCTCTATGTTTTAACTATGTTCTCAACTCTCAAGGACTGAAATATTTAGAGAGACATGAAGGGCTCACACTTATGTTGATTACTGTCCTAAGGTAAATATTTCTATAAATTGTGTCAAATTCTGGGATTTAAAATTGTCATGGGATGTTGTTTAGAGCCGTGTTTCCAAAATATTTTTTTTGGGTACCGTGTCCTACCTAGGCCTGTCTAATATTCTTATGCCCGCCTATGTTACTGAAACTCTGGACGAGTCCATTTTCAAACTGCACCCCTTAACATCAAATTGCACCCCCCCCCCCCCCCCCAAGTTGGGAAACTTTGTTAGAGTGTGCAACATGCACATTGTAAATGCTGTTTTCTGTCCGTATTTGAGAAGAATAAGTATCTTTTCTGGATTATTAAGATAGCAATAGTAACCATTAGGTAGTTAGCTCAAAGGATAGGATGACCTGGAGTGATCTGGCTGACAGCCTATGCTCCAGTAGGGGATAAAGGTAAAAAAAAAAAAAGCAGTATCCGACCCACTACCCAAAAGATCAAAGGAGAAGTATGATATTTTTTTTTACAAACTAATAGATCTGGCTACCTATGTATGCCAAGAGACACTTTACAGATTCACTATGATAGATTAAATATTACTTCTCAATCAAAACAGACGTGCATGAAATATATTGTTCTCACAATAAAACAATGCATGGTTATTTGATGGCACTTTACTACCCATTAAAAACATAAAAGAAACACATAACTACAGAAGAACTTAATTCTGTAATTCGAAATCTTTGACATTTAACCAGTGAAGCTGTTCAAACTGCACAATCAGAATACCTTAGAGTTCAACCAATCAACTGACAGTTCTTTTGCATCTTTGGTATCTACATTTTTTAGGCACACAAGCTTTTCCGTCAAATAATTTTAAAAAGTGCCATCGGATAACTGCATTTCTGTTCTTTCTTAACAGGACAGTGCCATTGGATAACTATGCACTATTTGTTTTTTATTTTTTTTATTTCTTCAAACAGTATAATACTTGCATAATCCGTTGTTGTTCTGGGTGGCCCTACTTATTTTGCCATCTGTAGTTTCAGCTGTGAAGCAATTTGTAATTGTAATCCTTTACAACAGCAGACAGCACTGCAATGGTTGTTTTGTTCTATGGTATAGAACTGTGAACCTTCACAAAGGAATGGTGAACTACTGCCTTATAAAACCACAAACAGCAACAAAAGCTGGGAGTTGGTTTGTGATATCCTGTAAATGATATGTAGCTAACTTTTCCTTTTCTACTTCTTTGCTGAAAATTAAATCTTCACCTCGACACTACACAAACGTTATGATGAGAACTGATTGCCCACATCAGAAGGAGAGAATCTGTTATTTTACTATACAAGGGAAATTACCTTTCCATAACTTTTGCAACATAAGGAAGGTGCATCTCTATACTATGTTCTGCTTCGTCTGTGTTGAGTGACATGGTATCAAATGCCCCAGAGGCATACAGTTCTTCATAAACTGCAAACAGAAAACATGATATACAGGGTGTTTGTAAAGTCTTACTATACTTTGTATGCAGAATAAATCTAAAAAAGCAGAGTACATGACATCATCAACAAAATGTGCTAAAAAAAGTAATTAATAAGTTACAATAGTCATTGCTTTGGTCTGACGCTGTTTTAGGGGAGCTGGAATGTACCAGTGAAATATTAATATATTATAAAAGGTCTTTGAAATGTTCACCATGGGCTTTCAAGACATGATTGTACACGTCTCTTCATCCTACTGTCAAATGCCTTCGGCAACATGTCTATTTGTAATCTTGGTAAACTTAGTTTCAGCTTCATAGCAAAGGGGGTCACCCCATAGTTGCTCCTCTCCTGTGCCAAAGGAAAACACACAGAATGTTCATCACAGTCCCTTGTGGAAAGATTGACAGACTGCTGTCTCAGCATATGCACTAGCATACACACGCACTAAAAGCATTCTGTAGCCACCAGAAGTGCTAATCAAAACAGTCTGACATTAAAAATGCAGTTCATTATCGACGGTAACAGAAGTTACCAACAGATCAGCAGTTGCACATGCAATCATTTTAACCACATAAGGGCACCACTAATATTGCGACTATAGGCCATGCGCCTTTTTCTGAATACACAATTCATAACACCATTTCGGTCACAGTCGAAAAACATTCCAAATAAAATCAGCAGCTCAGAGTGTCCCGCCATGCACTTAACTCAGTAGCTGGGCGACGAAACTATATCCTTTCAGTCTACAAATAAAGCAAACATGCAATGGTCACCATCTGGAAGAAGCAAAAAAAATTGCTGCAGCCCAAAACTGACTATGCCTAGCGTCCATTTTGACCGGAAGTCTGTTACTATTTCTTGAATGATAAATCTGACTGGTTCAGCTGATAAAATCATTCTGTTTTGAGAGAATTACTCCAGCAGACAACAGCCATTCATTGCATATTGCTTTGCAATTAACTGTGGAGCACATTTTTTTTTTTACTTTATTTTTCACATTTGTTTTATATATATATAGTGTATTGATAGTGAGACTTTATAAACACCCTGTATTAGACTTTCCGTCTTTCCAGATGAAAGTGTCACAATGTGCTACCTAAAGGCTTGGGAAACCCAGCCCAGGGTGACAGTGAGAATCTTCTTTTCCTTTTCATTCGTCCAAGTGATATAACTGCAATGTTTACAACACAGCTGCGATATTCGCGCCTTTCTGGCAGGTGGGACACACCCAACTTCATCAAGCATTTGTTCAAAAGGTTAGCCCAGAGTGATGATGAGAATGACTAGCAAAACCTGCTTGTGTCAAGGCCATCCACAGTTAGAGCATGGAATTTCAGGACCACTGTTGTCATCCCGTGTATTTAATGTGCCTCTTCTCAGTCGCTCAGGTCTTAATCTATCTGCGCTCATTTTCTTCTTGATCCCTCTTACCTTTTTGTCGTCCCTTCCCCCCACCACCCCTCCACTTTCTGTGCAACATAGTCTATGGCAACTAACCAAATACTTGTATCATTCATGTCCCACATCTTTTTTTGCTGTCTGTTTCAGCTATGTTTCTCAAAATTATACTGTCTGAAATGGTTTGCTTCTGTGGCATTTATTTATGAAGAAGATGGCAAATGCAAATGTACAGACATGTAACATGATTTACTGGCCTCTCCAAAACCATACTATAGGACTCAAACATGCAAACATCGAGTCCATTGCATCTGACAAAAAGAAGAGGAGGGAACTGATTAGACAGTCAACAGCAACTGGTGACCCAGTCTTCTTCACGTTCACTGACTGAAAACTCCGGCAGAAAGTTCTGGCTGTTCGCCCACTTCTGGATTTAGTCTTGTTTCCGAACTTCAGTTTTTAGTGCACAGATTGTCACCTCTCAGGCAAATGCACTCCGACCTTGAAGGAAACACCCTTAATTAGTCTAATTTTACATTCTGCTTCTTGGAGGGCAGTCAGTTTATTCTGTTCCCCTAATATACAGCCCTAGCACCCAGACAGGGGAGGTGACCTAATGACCATGGGTTACAGGATGATGGCGATGATGATATAACAGATCAACTGTGTCATAAGTTTTTCACAAGCGGGAAACAGACAAGAACGGAGTAACCCTTTAAAAATCTGGTAATATTTAAAGAAATCTAAAATGTGCATAGAACAAGGCAAAACAAACCACAAACAGTGCACTGGATGGGTGATGTGGTCAGCATGATGTTGGCCACCTTTACTTCCAGTGACATAGTCTGGTACCAATTTTTAGCTAGGTCGACCTGTGAGCCAACATCAGTTTTGCAAAAACTACTTTGAAACAGATTTGTAACCAAGACCTGCATGCAAGTGCATTGGGAAACGAACAAGCACACAGATTGACTGGCTCTGCACAACCTAATGGAATACTGATGCATGATAAGGCAGACGTGGTTAGGGCGGTGTGGGAGAATGTGTACAATTCAGAGGAGCAAACTGATCGCCATATTCTGGTAGTGATGCAGCAGGGAGTGATGAGGGGATCTGGCCGATACTCGTCGCTCAGATAAAAGGCATGAGGGGCAAATAAATAGAATGTCACTTACACCACTGGTAATGGAAGTCAGCACTGGCTGCTGAAGTTGGGGATTGAGCGCTTATGGAAATGCCCCAAGTGCTGTTAAGTCAGTTCTGGAATCAACGCAACTCTGAAACCAAAACCTTTGGGCCAGCAGATAAGTACCTTGTCGCTACTCTACTGCGGCTCCCATTATAAATATGTACATGGCTAAAACATGTTTGTTTGCTTTCTTATCTAATATGGCATGTATCATCTACGCGCTATTGTACGTACCTCCCACATCAATTGTAAGATTGTATAACGGGGTCTCGTAGGTCTCTGTGCCAGAAAGTGCACAATTTGACATCCGTACATGGTGAGAAGGTCCCAAAATAAATACTCGCTTTCTAAAAAAAAAAAAAAAATAATGATGAATAAGTAATTAATAACGTATCACCATAGCTAAAGCATACTCTGTTAACTTACTAATAGTTTTGTTTTTCCTCTTCTTCTTCTCTGTTCACCCGCAAAGGGCTAGACTGCAGTATCAGTTCCCCCTGGCCACAACACATCTAGTTTCTGCAAACCTCATTTGTCCCTTTTTATTACACTTGTCAAAGAAAGCATTTGGTCTGTTCTTTTCCCCCTAAAACGGGGGCCCATGAACCCACAAGGTTTTTTATTTTCCTAGGGGATAAAAAGGTGCTGGTACTTACCACACAATGTCTGGTTTTTTTTAAATAGGGTAGCCACACTCACCAGAAAAATTATGTTACTGTAGTGCTGCATCAAAGATGCGTTAAACAAAGGTGCGGTTATTGAGCACCATGCGCACCGCCAGGAAAAGAAAACCTGCTTTAATCCATACCATCCTAGATATTGCATTAAACTTATTTTATTCCCAGACAACTGTTGTTTAGACCCACTGTATACACTTAGGCACTAGTGAACTGGACATCTAGTCTTCCTGGGCTAGAACGAAACTTACATAAGAGCTTTCATAACATATATTTACACTAAAAAAGGTTCTACTCCTCTTTGTTATTGGTCTTCTCTTTCCGCTAGTTGACGCCTAGTGTCTGTAGATCTACCTGTGCATTATCTCTCCACATCTTCTTGGTCTTCCTCATGGTTTACCCCTATTCAACTCTTTTGTGTACACAGTTTTTGTCACCTGCCATTTTCTCTACATGCCCCAACCACCATTTTCTCTCCATGCCCCAACCAATCAATCAATCCTCATCGCCCCCAGAGGCACATAAGACAAGAGACACACTGTTGCCACTTAATTCGATCTTGAGCCATCCTCTCTATCTCCAGTTTTGTCCTTCGCGTAGCCTTGAGTTCAGCCTCAAAGGTTTTTTCCTCCAAGTGCCTATGGGCCTGCCTCTTCCTCGCTGTCCTTGCGTAGACCATTGCACTGCCTGTCTCGGCCATATCTATTTCTTCATTCTCAGAACATGTCCAATCCACCTCCATCTTCGTCTCTTGAATTCTAAATTTACATATTCTAAGTCTGTCATTTGTTGTAACCTAGTCCTGCTGATTTTGTTTTCCCATGTGAACCCCAAGAATCTTCTAAAAAGTCTTCCCTCAAAACCTCTAAGCATGCTCTCTATCTTTCTGTCTGTTTTCCAAGTTTCTGCTCCATAGAGAAGAACTGTCAAAACACATGTTTTGTATATCCTGAGCTTGGTTTTTGTGCTGTAGATGTTTGATCTCCAGACACTCGGAAGTCTGTTGTAAGCAGCATTCTCCTTTGCAATTCTCTGCTTAATTTCAACCACTACATTTCTATCCGAGGAGATGTTGACATGCCCTAACCACTGCAGTCTTTTAGCCCTAATATTGTGGTAATGAAGAGTTTCATCTTTAGTCCTCTTTAACCGCTTCGGTGTCAAGGGAGATGTACAGTATGCTTAGTGCTCTTCTGGCTGCTTCGACCATAGACACATCGTGGTGCTGTAGAGTTTCTCTGATGTTATCTTTCCATATTGTTCTTGGTCTACCTCTTGCTCTACATCCTTCTCCTCTTTTGGTATATGCCTTGTATGATATAGCATCAAAGGGCATTCTCTCCGTGTGGACAAACTATTTGATTTGCTGTCTTTTTCAGAGTTGGTTCTGTGCCGACTTTATCTCATATGACCTCATTCCTGATTTTAAATCTTCTGGTCACTCCTACAGTCTTTCTCAGATACTGTATTTTCATGGTTACTAATTTTCTTTTATGTTTTGTTGTGAGTGACCACGTCGGACACTGATAGCATAGGGTGGGAAATGAATGTGCTTTGTATGAGATGTTTCTCTGTGCTGATTAGGATTGCCTTATGCTGTAAGAAAGTGGGGGTAGGGGGTGAAGACAATAATAAATAAATACTTCCACTAAACTAGGTTCAACCTGACAGTAGACAAATGTCATACACATAAGGAATCACAGTTCCAACATCATAGCAAATGGGTCACCCCACAGCTGTTCCGTTCCCGTGTCAACAAAAACCACATAGAATGTCTAACACTGTCCCTTGTGAATAGGAAAACAAAAATTTACATAGACTGCAGTCTTAACAAATCCAACAGCATGCACATGCATCAAATGCATCAGGCAGCAGTCAGAAGTTCCACAAACAGTCCAACACTAGAAATGCAGTTCATCATCGATGGATGCAGCAGTTGCAACAGATCAGTAGCTGCAGATACACTGGAAAACATACACTTACACTAAACTAGATTCCACAACCTTTTAAGCATATACTTATACTAAACTAGATTCAACCTAAAGACACACAACTGCTCCAAACCAGTCATACTTACACTAAACTAGGTTCAACCTAATGACATACAACTGCTAAGCCAGTCATACTTACACTAAACTAGATTCAACACAACCTGCTTAAGCAGTATACTTACACTAAACTAGGTTCAACCTAATGACATACAACTGCTCCACAACCAGTCATACTTACACTAAACTAGGTTCAACCTAATGACATACCTTTCCACAACCATCATACTTATACTAAACTAGGTTCAACCTAATGACATACAACTGCTCCACAACCAGTCATACTTACACTAAACTAGGTTCAACTTGATGACATACAACTGCTCCACAACCAGTCATACTTACACTAAACTAGGTTCAACTTGATGACATACAACTGCTCCCCAACCAGTCATACTTACACTAAACTAGGTTCAACCTAATGACATACAACTGCTCCACAACCAGTCATACTTACACTAAACTAGGTTCAACCTAATGACATACAACTGCTCCACAACCAGTCATACTTACACTAAACTAGGTTCAACCTAATGACATACAACTGCTCCACAACCAGTCATACTTACACTAAACTAGGTTCAACCTAATGACATACAACTGCTCCACAACCAGTCATACTTACACTAAACTAGGTTCAACCTAATGACATACAACTGCTCCACAACCAGTCATACTTACACTAAACTAGGTTCAACCTAATGACATACAACTGCTCCACAACCAGTCATACTTACACTAAACTAGGTTCAACCTAATGACATACAACTGCTCCACAACCAGTCATACTTACACTAAACTAGGTTCAACCTAATGACATACAACTGCTCCACAACCAGTCATACTTACACTAAACTAGGTTCAACCTAATGACATACAACTGCTCCACAACCAGTCATACTTACACTAAACTAGGTTCAACCTAATGACATACAACTGCTCCACAACCAGTCATACTTACACTAAACTAGGTTCAACCTAATGACATACAACTGCTCCACAACCAGTCATACTTACACTAAACTAGGTTCAACCTAATGACATACAACTGCTCCACAACCAGTCATACTTACACTAAACTAGGTTCAACCTAATGACATACAACTGCTCCACAACCAGTCATACTTACACTAAACTAGGTTCAACTTGATGACATACAACTGCTCCACAACCAGTCATACTTACACTAAACTAGGTTCAACCTAATGACACACAACTGCTCCACAACCAGTCATACTTACACTAAACTAGGTTCAACCTAATGACATACAACTGCTCCACAACCAGTCATACTTACACTAAACTAGGTTCAACCTAATGACATACAACTGCTCCACATGCAGTCATACTTACACTAAACTAGGTTCAACCTAATGACATACAACTGCTCCACAACCAGTCATACTTACACTAAACTAGGTTCAACCTAATGACATACAACTGCTCCACAACCAGTCATACTTACACTAAACTAGGTTCAACTTGATGACATACAACTGCTCCACAACCAGTCATACTTACACTAAACTAGGTTCAACCTAATGACATACAACTGCTCCACAACCAGTCATACTTACACTAAACTAGGTTCAACCTAATGACATACAACTGCTCCACAACCAGTCATACTTACACTAAACTAGGTTCAACCTAATGACATACAACTGCTCCACAACCAGTCATACTTACACTAAACTAGGTTCAACCTAATGACATACAACTGCTCCACAACCAGTCATACTTACACTAAACTAGGTTCAACCTAATGACATACAACTGCTCCACAACCAGTCATACTTACACTAAACTAGGTTCAACCTAATGACATACAACTGCTCCACAGCCAGTCATACTTACACTAAACTAGGTTCAACCTAATGACATACAACTGCTCCACAGCCAGTCATACTTACACTAAACTAGGTTCAACCTAATGACATACAACTGCTCCACAACCAGTCATACTTACACTAAACTAGGTTCAACCTAATGACATACAACTGCTCCACAACCAGTCATACTTACACTAAACTAGGTTCAACCTAATGACACACAACTGCTCCACAACCAGTCATACTTACACTAAACTAGGTTCAACCTAATGACACACAACTGCTCCACAACCAGTCATACTTACACTAAACTAGGTTCAACCTAATGACATACAACTGCTCCACAACCAGTCATACTTACACTAAACTAGGTTCAACCTAATGACATACAACTGCTCCACAACCAGTCATACTTACACTAAACTAGGTTCAACCTAATGACATACAACTGCTCCACAACCAGTCATACTTACACTAAACTAGGTTCAACTTGATGACATACAACTGCTCCACAACCAGTCATACTTACACTAAACTAGGTTCAACTTGATGACATACAACTGCTCCACAACCAGTCATACTAACACTAAACTAGGTTCAACCTAATGACATACAACTGCTCTACAACCAGTCATACTTACACTAAACTAGGTTCAACCTGATGACATACAACTGCTCCACAACCAGTCATACTTACACTAAACTAGGTTCAACCTAATGACATACAACTGCTCCACAACCAGTCATACTTACACTAAACTAGGTTCAACCTAATGACATACAACTGCTCCACAACCAGTCATACTTACACTAAACTAGGTTCAACCTAATGACATACAACTGCTCCACAACCAGTCATACTTACACTAAACTAGGTTAAACCTAATGACATACAACTGCTCCACAACCAGTCATACTTACACTAAACTAGGTTCAACCTAATGACATACAACTGCTCCACAACCAGTCATACTTACACTAAACTAGGTTCAACTTGACGGTATGCATATGCTGCGCAAGCTCCACAGAAGTAATATCCTGCATGCCTAGACAAATAAAAAAGATCATATCAGATAATAAAGGACTTCTTTAAGTCCATGCTGTGTAGTGTTGGTAGTCATGTCTATCTGCAACCTTCTGTCCTGTGGACTTTCTATCAATTCTGACACAGACAATCTTCTATGCCATGATGTCAAACCGTCTTGCTTCTCCTCTCTCTGCATTCATTCATTATTTGTATGCAGACTGTTGTTTCCTTGCCTCTCAGGCAGATACAACCTGACTTTGAAGGAAACACCCTTAAGTTGTCTATTTTTATGATATGTGTCTTAGGGCCTCAGTGGGTCTATTCTTTTCTCCCACCCACAAAGGGGCCCTGGAACCAACATGGGAAATACACTAAGGCAACTGTTATGTAAATGGGCAGTTATTTGTTATGCAAATGTAAGTATTCATTTTATTACAATCATTGTAACTACACACTGGGCATTCCCATGAGTGCTCAGTCTTCTCATGCAGCAGCCATCCCAAGGTACCTCTACTGACAGTGCACATAACATTATAATGCATCTATCATGACCTCAAAGATGGCAAAGACTTGCTTGGGCAGGCTTTACACCCAAGTTACATAAGTGAGCTAGCACCATTAGTAGCCATGCCTAGTCTGTACAGCACTAACTATTTACACGGTGCAGACCTGATAAGGAGAACTCACAGGGACCCAAGAGATAGTTCTTCTTATCAGAAATTTCTCTTGTTTGAATACAGTTCAAGCAATAACAAAAAAGCAGCAGGGGATGAACACATTGTTCTTCTCAACAGAAATTCACCATATCCGAGATCACCTTAATCAGTCTGCTCCCTCTCTCTTTCTCCCTCCCTCTGAGTATGTGTGAGAGAGAGAAAGAGAGAGAAATAAACAGACATGGATTGACCAGCACTCTCAGAAAGAAAGAGAAAGATAGGACACATAAGACAACATAAAAACTGAAAGCTAGTTACCTTGCATCCCTGGGGTTGCCTAGGTGGTTACATGACTTAGTAAACTTCTTCCTACAGTGAGACGCTGTCATTATTTGGAGGTGACAGATTCAATTCCCGGCATGGTAACTATAGCTTTCGATTTTTATGCTTTCTAGTATGTCCTTGAATACTTCTACTTTTTTCTATCAGTGCCAGTCAATACATATCTATTTGTTTATATAGTATTGCTAAGCCCTCAGGGGCCCCCCTCTGTTTATTACTGTGTAACACAGCATCAACTATATCAGCGGTTCTCAACCTATGGGTCGCGGCCCCTGTTTTAGATGGCATGACCCTTATTAAGTAGCAACCAAAATAATTGTATGGTTAGGGGTCGCCACAACATGAGGAAATGTATAAAAGGGTCACGGCATTAGGAAGGTTGACAGTCACTGAACTATATTAACCATGTCTATGTTTTTCCCCAGTTAAGGAACAAGTGGTCTGTCTAAATCTCCTATTGTAAAGTGCAGTGAAAGAGAATGGAATATGTGATATGTGTTAAAATTAGGTAAAAGTCAAGAGGGCCGACTTCATTGCACTGGGTTTTACCCCATATTGCTCTCTCTCCACAAAGCAGCTAGCTACCTGCTAAGAGCTCCACACAAAGTAAAAACTCTACAGCTCCAGCAATGATCCCCAGGGATCTCTGCAAATATTTCATTCACGAACCAAACAACAGCCATGAACTGAGCCCCATCCTCAAGGGTGTAAGGCAAATGGCTTAACCACAGTCAACAAAAGGATTAATCCCTTGTACTTCCTGATATGCTGATGTCTATTTATTGGAATGCACCTGACAAAATAAAGCATAATAAATTGTGCTATATTCTGAGCCTACGCTATTTAATTTTATCAAACTTAGCTGGCAGAAAAAAAAATACTGCAACAACAAATCTCAAGAGAAATGTCAGTTATTTTACTAAACAAAGGTTGCAAGACAAGGTTACAAAAACAGATATACTTACGGTGCAATAATTGCCCTTGCTGGTTTCAATGACTCTGTGGCTTTAGATAACCAACCTTCCAACTGTGAATTCAACTCCGTACCTAAAATTTTAAACAAAAATAAAACAATATTAAGTAAATCTTGTTTTTAATGATTCTATGGAATCTCTTTATTGTGTATCCACTCATATAAAATAGCTGTAAGTCTAAACAGCTCTCTGCCAGCCTCTCTGTGTTGAAAAAACCTCAGAGCAGTCCCCAAGACTGTTCTCTACTGGACTCAACCAGCAGACCTGACAATTAAGCTTCAGGGGAACCCAAGAGAACTTTATCTTCTCTTCTTTTTCACATTCAAGGTCTCCACAGGTGGGCTTTGGGGTCACACTGTGGGATGGGGGAGGAGAATAGACCAAATGCCCCTAACAAACATATTTGTGAAAGTCGACTAATTGGGGCTGCTTCCTTTAAAGTCAGAGTGCCTGTTCCCTGTGTGGGTTCCGGGGCCCTATTATAGGGAAAACAAGAAGAGACCCACTGCTTACCCAAAAGCATGTCATAAAAGAGTTGACTAATTAGGAGCTTCCTTTGAAGTTGGAGTGCATCTGCCTGAGAGGCAAGGAACCAGCAGTCTGCATACAAATGATTCAGGTCTGTAAAACGGATGCACACGCAAAACTCTGGCTCTGAACAGGACTGCAGTCCAGATGAACACGAAGAAGAAGTCCAAGAGTGTATGAACATGAAGAAGAAGAATAGTCTGAAGAAAAAGCCAGATGTAGAACTCTGCACGCAAATTGAGAAGCTGCTTGAGAAAGAACCAATAGTCTGAATACAAAAAAAGCCAGATATGTAGAACTGTGCACGCAAATCTCAAGTTTTGGAACAAGACTAAAATCCACAAGTGGATGAACAACCAGAACTTTCCACCACAGTTTAAGTAAAATTTTTGCAGCCAGTGAAGGTAAAGAAGAAATCTGTCAATAAATGCAAAGTACACATATCATTACCATAACAACTTAATGTAAAGTGCATATCTCCTAAATGCTCACTTACACTTAATGTAAAGTGCATCTAACAGCTGAATTGCAGTGCATATCTGGTTAAAAACTGAGCAGCATTATGCACATCTATTATCTAATTAGTGTAAAGTGCACACTGTATTCACTATTTCACAAATGCCATTTACATCCATACACAAATGAATGTAAAGTGCACACCTCACTGAAATGCTTTTGTCACATATCACATACAAACTAAGTGCACACCTCACTAAAATGTGAATGTTCAGTGCACACCCAATTTTAATTACCTGCAAAATGAACAGTGCACATCTAATTAGCATCAAAATATAAGGTGATACAGTGAACACCTCATTAACATCCAATGTATTAGAATTGTGTTGTGTACAAATCTTCAACGTAGCTAAAATTATACAAAAATACCTTTATTGCTATGCTCTTAATCCTAAATACAATCAATGTTTACTTTAAAAAGGAAAGAGGGGGGGGGAAAAAACTAACTGATGGTATTGATTTAACATACTGCAACCAACAAATTTACCTCACCCAGCTCTCTACTGGTTAAAAAAAATGACAAAGGGAAGTATTTTGGCTCTTTGGGAATTATAAATGAATAATCCCAATAAGTTAATTAATTAGCATTCGGTTCGCCTAAGAGATAAAGCATGTTCTTTCTTATAAAAGATTATATATGTATATATAAATCACGTGCATATCTTATTTATTAAACACGTAAAATATTATTACACAGTTTTAAAAAGAGAGAAAAAAAAATATGGGCTATAAATATATGTAAAAACATAAATAGAACGGTGCAGTTCTATAAGTACCTACTGACGTCAGGGACTTGCAGGCCCGTCGGTCAGTTTAGTTTACCATCACAAAAACTACGAAATAGGCGCATTAAGTTACAACAAATGCGTGGACTTTACCTGAATCGGTGTACCAGCTCCCAGCGTGGCCGGCCTTTCTGATTTTGCCATTCTTAGACATTACTGAATCGATCTTGAAGTACTACAAACGACGAGACTCGGCCTATACCTCTGTGTGCCCGGAACGCTGGCCCTGATCTGATCTGTTAGAATCAGCCCTCCCCTTGATTTCTGTAGCCGGCGGAATCAAACTAGCCGCAGCTTGCGGGTCACCTGAATATGCCAGGTTCGCTTGGTTGCATGTGGTTTTATTGTAAAATCTAATGTCAACTGCTAAAGGGAAGTGCCTAGATAGGTGCCTAGAGGGTGCCTAGTTGACCATGTTTTTAAAACACTTGTTTCCATAGCGAGGCGCCCACACCGTATGAAGGTGATAGGTTCGATTCCTGGCACGGTAACTATAGCTTTCGATGTTTATGTTGTCTAGTGTGTTCTTCTATCTTTCTACTTCTTCTATGAGTGCCGATCAATACATTGTCTGTTACTTCGTTAATATACAGAGAAGATAGGATGCACCACAGTCTTAAACTACATTGCTCATTTCATGGTCATACTTATTGTAAGTGAGAAAAACAGGTGCGCGACAGGGATGTCTTTTGTCACCTCTTATATTTTTACTGACCCACACACCACCCCCTTTCCTCACTGCTGACACCCAGGGCAGCCTATACCCCCTTCCTACGCTAGCCACGGTTTATATTAATTTGTACTGCAGTGTACGCATTTTTTTCCCCAGAAGAATTGCCTTTTCTCTTCATGTAGAACACATCTACATTTACTTTAAAAAAAAATGTGCATTTATTTGAGTACCCAAAAAATACATATGCTGTATCCGGCCATGTCATCTTCTGCTAGAACATCTTTCTAATTCAGTCGTCTGATGTGTGTTTCAACGGACGAACGAAATCCACATAGATGACAGTCTTAAATGGGGATTTGTGTGTGTGTGCAGACTGTTGGTTCGTCATGCAGAGGCAATACTACTGTGAAAGAAGTTATAACATGCATGAAAAAAGACACCATACTGAGTGCAAAGGGTGAGTTAACCATTATGCAAAATAAGCACGTGCTAAGGGCATCAAGGGAACAATTCACCACATGAATTTTTCCATAGCTTTGGAAATTTTTTCATAACCTTGGGAATGCAAAATTAGAATATGATAACGGCCCCACGATTCATAGCGGCTAGCGTGATCGTTCTTTTTTAAGTTTTGTTCATGTCGGTTGTCTCATTCAGTCCTTCGCTGAGAATGTGGTTGTTATGGAGTGCTAGAAGCTAACTCAGCGTCCATATAGGGGGCACCAACATCTGTTTAAGTGTTGAGGGCCTCTAAGGGTCTAAATCCTGGCCAGGACATCACAGGTTGGGAGAAGCATGATAGCTACTTCCTTCGGCAAGGCACCTGATGGTGATGATGATAATGATAATGATGAGGTTGATTTTACAGTGAAGCTTATGTTACGAGCACCCTGGTGGGAGATGGCGGGGGGGGGTGTAATTATGCTAAAGCTAATTTTTAAATTGGGTATTTTTTCTTCGATCCTGCTCAGGCAGATGTAAATCAAGTGACAAACTGAAGCTGTCATCACCACCATCCTCATCATCGTCGTCATCAATTTCCAATTTTTCCGTTATGCGACGTGGGGAGGAGCCGTTTGTGGTCTACTGCTTGATAGGTAACAATAAATATTGTCACTCCGTGTTGATATAGAAGCTCTTTAATGTATCTTCTCCTAGGACCTAGGGCGACCTCTTGCTTTCATATAAGATCATGCATAAAATAAAGATTGTACAGTCCCCATAGTGTGCCTGTCAAACAGGACCACAAACACCTGCGCGCATTCTGCAGACCTGCCTACTCTACCTACAACTTCGAAAAGACACCTGGCCTTAAGAGGAGAGTGTGCAGAGCAAGTTATGGGGAACCATGAAGACCTGCTACTGACATACGAGTTCGTACGAAACCGAACGCAAAGAAGAAGATATAAGATCTATTGATGCCTAGCGCCTGTAATTGTTCTGGCCACATTCCAACTAGATGACCACATCGCTTTATAACTAGATTATTACATCACATTCTAACTAGATTACATCGCATTCCAACTAGATGACCGCATGGCATTCTAACTAAATGATTACATCTCATTCTAACTAGATTTTTAAAAAATCTTTGAATCGTCTGCTTCTCAGTGAATTTGATGCATTATTATGTTCCAATATCCTGTCCGATAATATCATTTCTAACTTTGCCTCAGATGGTTACGTTGGCTGCTTTCCTCAATCATCTCATTTCAAAATTGTTAACTTTACGTAGGTTTAGAAAAAAGTTAGCTGCGTATCCTTTACAGGACGTTGCAGAACCAACCCCAGCATTGGCTGTTGTGGCATTTATAGGCAAATTTACGTCTAGTAGTTTGCCATTGCTTCCCGTACAGTCGGCTTCTCGATACCACTGTCGGAACTAACTCAAGGCGCAAGGCCAGCAGCTAGGGTCGAACCCGGCACCCCGGCATTACGAAGCTCGTAGGCAACGCCTAAGCCACAGACGCCGACGCTTACGTGGATTAGCCCTTAATAATGTCCAAGTTTGGCACTGGTAGCAGAGTGTTGGTATGAACATGCTGTTTTATAATATGTTTCTTGACAGTCATACTTATGTCTGAAATTCTTAATAACGGCACCAGTTGGTAAATAAGTGCACTGGCTCGTTGGCATCTTGTTTCTACTTCCAGATCTATTCTATTTTCAGGTTATATCTTTTGCGTGTTGAACATAGTCTGTTCAGATGCTCTCACATGCTGCTCATCTCCCTATGGAACAGGCACTGATCGCAAATAGTAGCTCGATTAGTTTATGTAATCAAATTCCTTCTCTGGAAAATACAGTTTCTCATTTACTAGTTTTCTGGATCGACTACTGTAAAGCTAGCCTTTTTTTTAAAGATATTCTGTCGATGTATACATTAAATAAGAAAGGCAAGGCATAAATCCTTGTCTCAACCCTACTCTGATTGTAAGCATATCAGATATTCATTCCTGCGTTCTCACTGCGCTTTCAGAAGTGTTGTACATGGCCATGATGTTGTCACTTGAAGTTGTCAGTCAACTCAAATTGGCGGCGTGTTGATTTCAGCAACAGGGGTGAAAGAAAGTTAAGACCTTTGTGGTGTGTATAAGTAGATACTCCCTACCTCACTTCGGGCGCTAGCCGGCTCTGTCCTGGTTTTATGGATCCTCATGCAAGACTCGTGCCACTCGACCTCGTCATCCGCTACGGATAAAGACTCACCTTTGTGACCTAAACCGTGCTGGCAGGGGATCTCGGAGTTGGTGGCATCGAGAGATGTAATGTCCAGTCTGGCTCCTATCAGCTCACCACCAGTTGAATGAATAAATATATATATATATATATATATATATATATATATATATATATATATATATATATATATATATATATATATATATATATATATATAATATATATATATCAAAACACATTTGAAACATGAATAAAGCCCGTTAGCAGAATCTACTACCAAATGACAAGTCTCGGTTAAAACGTTTGTCGAGTGTAAGAACCACTGAACTGCTATTTTGAAAGACAACAATTTAAAAAACCATACTTAAGTGGAAATGGAAGCTAAGCGAGGGAGAAACAAAGGTGCAAATGGGAGGATAGCAGCAACAGATGGGCGAACATGAAAAATATGAGCGAGTGTACATACAGAGCGAAAGACAGAGCTTGTTGGCGATCATTTAGCCAACCTTCATTATGAAGATGGCACTCAGTTAACCATTGATTGATGCGGCTTGTTAGGTCGCAAGGGTGTTGGGTATTCATGATTCAGCGATTGGGGGGGGGGGGTGTAGCAGTCAATTAGAGAACCCTCCCCCATGTGGGTTTCTAAGCGTCCTAGGGGTGGGTGTGTGTGGAGGGGGGGGGGGGGGGCTACTGTCCTCTACAATTATGTCGAAAAAGCCAACTAATTAGGGTGGTTTTTTTTTCAGAGTCGGAGTGTATCTGTATTGGAGTTCTGGAACAGGACTAAAGTCCAGAAGTGGCCAACCAGATCTTTCTGCTAGGTGCACAGCTGGGGAACGCAAAGAAGAGGAAGAAGAAGTAGGAGCTAGAGAATCCACGGACACTTAGAATCTGTAGTGCTCTTAGACTCTTAAAAACTCAACTGTAAGAAAGTTTGACTTGTCAAGTTAGACAAATCTGGCAAAATAAGGTAATTTCATGTGTTTGGGAAAATGGCCGACCCGCTGCTGTTTCCTACTTCTGTTGTTTTCTGCGCATTTTGAACTTTTAAAGTAATCTTTTACACATACGTGCGTTTTCAGCAGGATAATTTTGAACGGCGAACAATAGTATTTTATTGCAAGGTATTATTTTACTACTATATCCTCTCCTAAACCAACAGTACAACTAAGTTGAATGATCATCAATCCAAATGAATGGGTCAAATATTTCCAGTTTTTAATTCTCAGCTGTTCACAGTACTTCATCGACACGACTCCCGACTCAGCATTTAGATATAACCCAACTCACCATTAACAGACGAAATTAAGACATACTTAACGACATTTTAATTATTTTCTGAACTGGGTAATCTGATCCTACTGATGCTAAGTTGAAATTCTTGCTTTGTGGGGCAGAAAGTAAACCAAACACAACAGTTGATTTCTTTTTCGGGTTCACCGGTTGTAAACTCCGGCGGAAAGTTCTGGTTGTTCGTCCTCTTTGACTGAAGAGTTGTTTCTTGTATTTGAAATCAGAATTAAAATTATTCCCATTGGACTGCAGTTTAAAGTCTTATCATTACCTGCTGTATTATTAGCAAACTTTCTCTGGTTGCTTACAGTTACACTGAAGAATTGTCTGTTGGTTTAGTTTTTAACAACGGATCATTATGGCACAAGGGTAGTAACCCATGAGTGCTCCTGTCTACTTCTAACTCAAGCCTGAATCTGAAGAAGCTCAGCACAATGCACGAACTCTATAGCACCGGCGAGGATCCTGAAATAATTTGCATAGATTTTTAACTCTAAATTTTGCTCGGGCAGTGTCGTTTGGCTACTCTTTTCAATTTCCAACTGCCAAGGGATTTGTAATGTGCGCAACAATACATACAGACGTCCGATCTTACTACCCAGAGACCCAAGGAAATTACTAGAAGTCCACCTGAAGAAAACCTAGTCTTCACCGGGGCCTAAACCCATGACCTTCAGCAATCGAGGCGGATGCCCTATTTTCCATTGGAAAATTACCCAACATAGGACAGGTGTTATAGAAACTAACCAGTCCATCCTGTATTGTGCAATTCTGTAATATCTAGAACAGTATATTCATAAAAGTTTCCATAGGTTTAACCAACCAGCCTTCCTCTCATTGTGGAATTTTCAACAAAACTGTTTGCTTACAGCAGGGCTATTCAACTAAGTTGACTCAGGGGCCAAAATGTTCAAAAATGGGCATCTTCACAGGTGGAATTTTCAACAAAACTGTTTGCTTACAGCAGGGCTATTCAACTAAGTTGACTCAGGGACCAAAATGTTCAAAAATGGGCATCTTCACAGGTGGAATTTTCAACAAAACTGTTTGCTTACAGCAGGGCTATTCAACTAAGTTGACTCAGGGGCCAAAATGTTCAAAAATGGGCATCTTCACAGGCCAGAAGCCCCAGCATAGAAAGACCATAAATGCAATATAACTAGTAGTGATCAGCGGGCCACATGCTAGGCCTTGGCAGGCCAGATTTGGCCCACGGGCCGCCAGTTGAATAGCCCTGGCTTACAGCAACCATAAGGGACACAATCCATTGTTTGTTTACATTCATATAAGAATGTTAACTAATATTTAATATTGCTTCAGGTTTTGGTTTAGGGTTAGGATTAAATCTAGGATAACCCCAACATGAAAGCAAAACTCTAACTGTAATCACAGACTATATGAAATATTAAAGAATATTAAGCTATCTTCCGAATAACGGTCCCAAATTATCGAGGCAGAAAATATACCCTAACAGGGCCTCAGTCACGTGTCAATTGCGCAGTTGCGGCACTTAAATTACGCACTTCCGCCACTGTTGAGAGTATCCCCCACGCTGCTCACACAGCGTGGATTGAGGCTAAACAAGATGGCTGGGACTCACGAGCAGCAGCTACCACATTTCCTGCAGCTGCCTTGATTTTTGTTTGTTTGTGAGTCCCAGCCACCTAGTTTAACCCCAATCCACACTGCTATTAGATATAATCCACAATGGATTATATCTAAAGTATTAGTAACTTGCAATAGATTGCGTCCCCTAGGGTCACCGTTTTTAGTTTTGCCGAATTCTGTATGTCAAGATACTATATCCATAAAACTTTTCGTAAGTTTATTGTTCTGATAAAAGGCTGGAGTGATGCTGACCACATAACTCACAGAGTGCCGATTGGTCTATAAAATATAAGTCTAGCCCTATATGCCCAATAAGCCTGATGGCTTGGAAAAGGGTCCTTTACTTTACTTGTGCGTTTCCTAATGACAGGTGTGCATCATTATTGAAACAGCAGGAACTGCTTTACGAATGAGAATGGTCAATTGCGTATCCTTTACAGGACGTTGCAGAACCAATCCCAGCAGCCCCTGGCTATTGTGTGGTTTCTCTAGGCAAATTTACGTCCAGTAGATTGACAATTGAGAATAAAGTGTTGAATTATGAATCAACATCACAGCACTTGGAACATTCCCATAAGTGCTCCGTCTTCACTAGCATGCACAGAGACCCAATTCTGATGTCACCAGTAACAGTCTGATTGTACATCCAGCTCACCTTTTCCTTGAGTGTTCCCTTTGCTAGATCCCCTGGTCACTCCTTGCAGCTCCATTCTCAGATGTATAGGATATAGACTGAAGCGAGAAAAGATAAACAGTGCAGATCAGCTTTTTGTGTAAGAGGCATAGAGCAAAGTTTGAATCTCCACTATCTGAGAATGATGTTAAGGGGGAACAAAATTCCTGATAAAGCATAGATATGCATATACTCAGATCACTACAAAAAGCTGTAAAATTTTTTATAATAGATATACAGTATTAAAAAACAATTAGATGTAAGTGGTGAATAGTGGATGTGTGTTTGTAAATCACATGTAACCCTCGTATTGAGGGGCATAAAAATGAATTTGGGGTACAGCTCAGAGCAGCAGTTTTTTTTTTTTATAGTGACAGGGGTGTGTGGGGTCTTGCCATTTATTAAAAGAGGAAAAGGGGGCTGGGAGAGGGGGTGTGGACGGGCATCTGAAAATGCTTGAAAACCAATGCCTTAGAGGAGGCAAAGAATAGGAACATTTCATCCTGTCATGTGTCTCATAAGAAGCAACTAAAGGTGAAGTTGAACTTGGGGTTAGCTACCTCATCCTGCAAAACACTACAGCGACAAAAACCAACTAACTTTGAACAAGTCAAAAAAAGTCTCAATCCAATAACAGTATAACTAGAATATCCTTACAAGGAAACCTGCAGGGTCAAAGTAATAAAGGCAGACCAAAAAAAAAACTGAACACAGAATGGAATTAGTGAAGCGAAAAAAGTGTGGGAAGGACATGGGACAAGCTGTGAGTGATAGCGAAGGATAGGACACCTTGACCTGAGTTTATTAAAGACGTGTTCCATTAGCATATGAAGGACAGACGAAGAAGACAATACTTTGTATAGATTTTTCTAAGCTTTTATTTAGTTAGATTTTGTTTGTTCTTAATTTCTAAAGACCAACCATATACTTGATCTGACAGTTGGTGAACTTTGTAATGTGAGCTGAAATGTGTGACCACCACCACCTGCGGTCCCCTGCACCTGTGGGGATAGTGGACCATGTCAGCAGCTTGTCAGAGAATTTTGCAGAGCTTGTAGAAACGGAAGACTATGCCGACATCACATTCATTGTTGATGGCGCCAGATTTCGCAGCCATAAAGTTATCTTGGCAGCACGCTCTGAATTTTTCAGGTTAGTAAGCAGTCCCTTTTTTTTTAATATTATTTTACTTTTTATTATTATCTGTGACTGAAATTTGAAAAATAGTAGAAAGAATATGAGAGCACATTCTGGGCATGTATGGCCCAAATCAGATGGTTTGGCCATGTAACAAGATTAGCAGCAGATAGGGTACCACAGAGAGCAATGTTATACAGATAGAGTGGTAACAGACCCAGAAGTCAACCACGCAGAAGATTGACCTCAGAAATATCAGAGATACTGAAAAGTATTATATACCATGCGAACAGAAGGGCCCGTTCTAGAGATCTCTTCCTCCCATGAGGCCGTGAGGCATTCCAGGAGTAGATAGAAAGAAGCCTGGCAGCAGCTGATGCTGAAATAAAGGCTCTTATCCACCAACACACTTGACCAGGTGACATCATTATCTTTTCATATGGCTCAGTTATTCGTGAGGTGAGTCCGGATGGGCATATGCTGCACAGGTGAAAAGGAAGACAGTGACAAAAGAAAGTCAGGCATTCAGTTCATCTACTTTTGGCATGGCAAACAAAGGAGATAGGCATCTATCACAGATGTACTTGCATGGCTGGCGGAACAGAAAAAAACCACACACTGATAGTGATAGACTCATTGAGCACGCATAAAAAGATCCAAATCTGTAAACTCCCAACTAGAATTGGTTGACAGCCTACAGCAGTCCCACCATAAGAAACTATCCTGGCGGTACACACCAGGAAATGCCAGGCTGAAAGGAAATTGAAAGAGCCGACGGACTGGCGGTGTCTGCATTAGTTAGTGGAGGACATAAGGGTAGACATAATGAATGTACTGTGCCCCAGAGACATTGAGATAAACAAGTCACAGATGATAAACCACCTGTTGGAAATGAGTATTATTAAACAAGGTCACGCATGCAGAAACTGGTTGCAGGCCAAAGAAAGATGATATGCCAGTCAACTCCTACTAGTTGCGGAGAGAATGAAGACACTGAAATGGCTGAAGCATTGGAGGACGGAATATGAATGGATCAGACCGATATATTGGATGTGGATTCAGACAAAGTATGACTGGCATGTTTAACTCAGTTTTTGTGTGTGTTACCGCTTGCATGGGTTCTAGAGCCTAGTGTTGTATGGGAAAAGGGGGGAGGGGGATAGAAGTGCGGGACAGGGATAGATCCACTGACTCTTAACCAGTATGTCAAAAAGATGACAAGTTAGGAGTTTGTTGAAATCAGATATCTTGGGCTGAAAGGCACAGACATCACAGCCTAGCTGTAAACCATAGCACAACCTGTCAACTGTCCTAGTAAGGGTAAACGTAGAACTAGAAGTTTGTCAGTTATTTCTGGTTTAATTTTGTTTCTTGGCATCTTTGATCGCATTTGTGGTTTAGATGTTATGAGTGCAGTTTTATAATTGTAACATCCCATGTGTCATCACAGCTACAAATGGTTTGGCGGCAGACTGTTTTGCTCTCATATCAAGAGGTACTCAGTGTAAACCATTGAAAGAGCAATACCAGCCTTAAACAGAAAAAAGTTGCATATCCTCAATAGGATGTTGCAGAACCAATCCCAGCATTTTTTGGCTGTTTATGATTTTACTAGGCACTTTTACGTTCATCAATTTACTATTGCTTACGAAAGGGTCAGCTCTCAGTACCGCTGTCTTCTTCTTCTTCTTCTTCTTCACCGGCTGTGAATTCCGGCGGTAAGTCGCGGTTGTTCGTCCAAATGGACTTTTGGCTTTTACCTTGACCTGAGTTTTGCGTGTACATCCGTTTTACTGGCTTATTTGTTTGCAGTTCTCGTTCCCTGCCTCTCCGGCAGATGTACTCCGACTTCGAGGGAAGACGTCAAGCCTATTTCTAGGTTGACTGTGGCCATTGTTTTGTGTGGGTCGAGATGTTGCCTCATTTGTGTGGTGTCCTCTTTGACCTTTAACAGGTGTGGCCCCCGGAATGTCGTCCTTAAGGCAGCCCTAGGTAGAATTGTCAGCCCTCAAGGGAAGGCAGGGGCAGATCATGGGCATTCCCCGCCATCCAAGGAGGCTTCCATAAATGCAGAGCCGACACATGATGCTCTGGTTCTGGGCTCACCCAAGGAATCGCCACGTCCTGCCCACGACTGCTTGACCTCACAACCGTGTATTGAGCTTCCCGCGCTACAAGGCTGCGCTCTCCGGAGATCAGCGGGGAGCAGCCCGCAGGTCCAGGACTTTTGTGGCCACACAAATAGGTACATTCTTTTTCATCGTACGTTAGACACCTTTAACGTTGTTTCAGCTGTGCCCTTAGCACGACAGAATGGGAAAGCAAAATGCGTCAGGCGTGGCTTCACCTGTTTGGTCCCAACACTCGGGCGGGTGGAACCAGTGGATACGGACATTTGGACTTTTTCCTAATCGGTACGAATTATGATCGTCGGATTTTGATCTTGCATGTGTGCCGTGGGGTATAAACTTTGTCGGACATTATTTCCTAGCCAGCATATGAAAAGTTGCTGCCGTGGTGTACCTCAGCGCGGTGACGAGGACACTGAGGATTGACAGAGGATGTACGTAGGTAGGATCTTGCTGCGAGAAGTCGCCCACAAGAGATATTACTCGTCTTGGCTGCGGGTAAATCTCTCGGTCAGGGTTGAGTCTCAGCAGCACAGTTTTCCATTCGCTCCCGAATTTTAACTGAGAGTTGTCATTTGATGGTACATTTGGCAAGCAATCCTTGAGTTTTGTTAGACTTTTCACCCATGCGTTTGGGGGCAGGCTGGTGAGAGCCAGAAAGGACACTACACCTCTAGGGGCCGCCAGCTCCGAGATCCCCTGCCAACTCTGTTAATGCTCATTTGAGACATTATTCGTGGCGCACGACGGGGACGTGCAGCAGGAGTCTTGCATGAGGTTCCGTAAAACCAGAACATTGAAGGACTGGCGCCTGAGTGGGGTATGGAGTATCTCCTTATACACATCACATCAGACTTAACTTTGCCTCATGCCTGTGACCGAAATCACCGCGCCACAGTACCGCTGTCAAAACTAATGCAAAGTGGTCTGCTGCCAGATCGCCTGCAGCTGGAGTCCAACCCGGCACCTTGGCAGTACAAAGTTTGTTTAGCACTGAACATAAAAGGGCTTAATAAAACTACAGACAGCCACCATTGCCGGAGATGGTTTACAAAGTTCTGTAAAGCAGTGTTCCTCAGCCTCTTTACGTCCAAAAACCGCCACTATGGTGGAAACTGTTTCATGGTCCACCTAACAGCTGACAAACACAGAACAAAAACAAACGTAGATAGCAGTTTATTTGATGCCACAAAATTACAATTTTCAGCTAATGCAGCATCTACTGCTGCTGAGATGCTGAACAGTTTGTTATTTGTGGCTGGAGCATTGCTTCTGATATACGGAGTGCTAGAATAACATCCATTCAATTTCTCCATTTGGTTTAAGTCTTTTCGCACAAAATGGAAGTCCTTGAGGTGTTCAGCCTACAGACTGGACGAGAAAAACCACCTGCCCTACCTTGGTGCATGATTGAGCAGAATTAATGTTCATGTGGCTCACAGGGACTCTTCTGTGGCCCAGCAAGTGGGCCGCAACCAGCGGCTTGAAGAACACTGCTGTAAAAGGTGTGCAGCTAACATTATTATTTATTTATTTTGTTACCTTTTGCAGGGCGCTACTGTATGGCGGCATGAAAGAGTCCCAACCTGGCACCACAGAGATAGAACTACAGGACACACCATCGGTTGCTTTCTCAGCTCTTCTCAAGTATATTTATACTGGTCGTATGAACCTTGTTGAAATTCAGGTAAGTCACTTCTCAGATCCTAATGTGTGTTCCAGATTCAAGTTTTAGAGGGGGTTGGGGGGAATAGACCCACTGTTCCCCTAATTGACAATAATTATGGGTGTTTTCTTCAAAGTTAGAGTGCATCTGCTTAGAGACAAGGACCGACAGTCTGCTTACGAGTAGGTGAGATCTGTAAAATGAACCTGCATGCAAAACTCAAATTCTGGAACAAGACTAAATAAATAAAGTCCAGCATTGGACAAACAATCAGCACTTTCCACCAGAGTTTACACCTGGTGAACTTGGAGGAGAAGAAGAAGAAGAAGAAAATGACTTCTCAGAGAGTGAAAGAAGTTAAATTAATGACTGCTTCTGAAGCCATGTGACATATATGGGATATTTTTTAGGTATTTTTAAGCGAGTGCACTTTTTCCATGATTTGATCCTTATCCCTCCTGTTTACCTTTAACTTTTTAGAATATTTTCTGGAATAAATTTTTATTCCATTCAAAAAAGGGGTTGGCACATTGTTCTGTGGTTTACAGTCAAGCTGCAATATTTGTGCCTTTTGGCCCAGCACATCAAATGTCAATAAACCCTTAATTATTCACCTTGTTAATGAACAGTGGATCTATTCTATCCACTCGTCTCTCTATCCGCCCCCAAGAAAATGGAGCCCCAGAACGCATGTGGCGAGGAACCAGTTTAATGAGGCTAGTTTGGTCCCAGTTAACTGTATTTTATCATCGTCGTGACGTGCCTTCATAGATTTCATAAGCCAGGGCTATTTAGCTAGGTTTATACAGGGACCAAAACTTCATGGACCAGAGGCCTGAGGCCCAGTATAAAAAGATCGTAAATACAGTAATGTTTTCAGCTATCTGCAGGCCGCTTAGACTTCAGCGAGCCGGATTCAGCCCCTCGTGGGCTGTCAGTTAAATAGCCGTGTCATAAGCATTCTCAAAAGCACAGATATCACAGCCAATCTGAAAACACAACTGGCATTTCAAGGGCAAACACAGTAAAAGAATAAGAGGAAGAAATTAGTTAGGTTTTCTTGTGTTTTTTGAAAGTGTACATTGTGGAACTAGTCATTGCTTTTAAAAAAAAAATCTCATGGTCTGTTATTTTTCTTTTCTTTTTGATCTTATTCATCTCCTACTTCCAATCACAGGATAATTTTCAACACACCTTTATTTCAAACAGGAGGAAAATTTATTGGACATCCTAAGTCTGTCTCACAGATTTGGTTTTGTGGAGCTGGAATCATCTATCTCCGATTATCTGAAGGCCATTCTCAATATTCGTAATGTTTGTCATATCTATGATTTGGCCAACATTTACAGGTGAGTGTTTCCTTAATAATGCTTGTGTTTACAAAATGTAAGTGTAGTAAAGGGCCCTGTTCCACGCCTTCTTGTGTATTGGGCATATATAGGGCTAGACCCATCTTTTATAGATCGGCACTCGGTGGGTGATGTAGTCAACTTCATGACGGTCGCCTTTACTTCCCAGGACTCCACCTGATACCCATTTCAGGTTGTATTGTCCTGGAGCCAAAGCCATTTTTGAAAAAAAAAAAACATCCTGCTCTATCAGGACCTGAAACCATGACCTTCCGATCCTCAGGCAAGCGTCTAGCCACTACAATTCTGCGGCTCTCTGTGACTTGTGTGTGCACTGAAAAATAAGTAAAGCAGGGAACCGTTTTGATGCCACTGGGGCATCAGGTATATGAAGCTGGCTGCATTGTTGGGAACAGAACAGACCCCTCCCCACCCACACAAAAAAATCAAGCTTGTCGTAGGAGGCAACTAATTAAGGGTATGTCCTGCAAAGTCTCACTGCATCTGCCTGAGAGGCAAGGAACCAACAGTCTGCATACCAAAAAAAAAAATGCTGGATTTGTTAAAACTCAAGTTCTAGATGAAGAACCAAGCCTGGAGTGGATGAATAGCTAGAACATTTTTGCTGGAGTTTACAGCTGGTGAGTGCTAAGAAGATGATATTTTTATAGACCAGTCAGCGCTGGGTGGGTAGTGTGGTTAGCATGACACCGGCTGCCCTACTTCTCAGGGCATTACCTGGTACCCATTTTAGGTTTGGTTGACCTGGGAGCCACGGTCACTGTTGAAAAACTAATCCAGCATGGTGCAGATTTGAACCCAAGACCTTTAAGGTCAGAGTCTATACACTATGACACAATGGCTTCCATATTCGGTGAGATTAACTAAAGTGAATATATTTTTTTATAAAGATACGTAGAAGAAACATGGAAAATGATTAAAACGGTTACTAATGAACTGTAAACATTCATTTATTGGTGCCTTCTCAGAGCAGGGAATTAAAAAGTACTACATAAAACATAAACTCTGCCTAGAAAAGTCAAGACATGAATGGAAAAGACACACTCGTATACAGCTGAACGTTTCGACTAAAGTGTTCATCAACTGAGTACTAACACAACACAGACTGTGATTAGAAAACTGAATGGACAAATTTTCAAAGGGGCGCCACCTGGAAAAGTTTGGAGACCTCTGATCTAGAGGGACTATTTAATGTTGATTTGTGATTTGTCACTTGTTTCCAGCCTGACATCTTTGTGTAACGTATGCAAGGACTATATGGACCGACATGCTCAGGAGGTTCTCACCTGTGACAGTTTTCTCTCCCTATCTCAGGTAATTAATAATTGTGAGTTTAGGGTGTGCATTTTTTCTTATCAGTTCTATAACTTGGGGCTGAACCACACGTGGCGGTCCACCAGGACCAAGACTCATACGGTTATGACCTATCTACTACACCTCTCTGTTTTTACCCTGGTGGTCTAGCCAGCGTAGAAAATATTGACATTTCCTTTGGAGTTTGTCACCTGAAAGGCGAGAACCAACAGTCTGCACACAAATTAGCCATATCTATGAAGCAAATGTGTACCCAACACAAGAAGAGCAAAGTCCAAAAGTGGACAAGCAACCAGGGCTGTTCTAGGCTATGACATACAGGACAGAGTGTTAGCCTTTGTCATATTCTAGGCTATAACGTACTAGACAGAATGGTAGGCTTTGTCATATTCTAGGCTATAACATACTAGACAGAATGTTATTCTGTGTTATGTTCTACACCATAACACACTAGACAGAATGCTAGGTTTTCACATGCCTAAGCCTTGAAAATACTAGGCAGAATGTTAGGCTGTGTCTTGCTCTAGGCCTTGATATACTAGGCAGAATGTTTGGCTTGCTCTTTTTCTAGACTGTGTACCGTTAGATAACACTAAAAAACACAGACAAAAACAAAACAGTTGCCAAGCGGCTACATATTGTAAATACACACATTTTAACACTCAGTAAAAGACAGGCTGATTTTCAGCCAGGCTGCTCACAGTATTGCACCATGCACTCAGATCAGTAGCTGTGTGACAGAACTATACTTTCGGTCCAGATATGGGGGGGGGGGGGGGGGGGGGGGGAATACAGCGGCTAACCACAGTTAGAAACTAATAACTTGCCACGACTAAAAACCTTCAGCTTGTCTGTCTGCCATATTGAGCAAGGGAAATGTTGATCCTAGAAAATTCAGAGATTTTGCCTGGTACTACTGATCTTTATTAGGCTGGTTTGACCCCAGAGAAGGTGCAGTTTTTTGTAAGCAAATGCATGCAGAGGTTCTGAAGAGACTAGACATTTGCTGAAGGAAATATAAAAGAAGGAAATATAAAAGATACAAGTGAAATATTTTAACCGTTTAAAGGACATTACTCTTTTTTTTTAAAAAGTATATACATACTTAAGGAAAAAGTTGTAGATAAATGAGCAAGAGATAGGCAGCAATGCAAGCAAAAGAATAACAGTTGGATGAAGAGCAGTCTGAGAGAGAGAGAGTACATCTAGGACCCAAAAAAAATGTATTGGTGATCCATTGTAGCCGACCTTCATTGTGGAGATGGCACCTGATTGAATGGTTGATAGTTTTTGTGTAGGGAAGACCTTTGTTTCATAGGAACTTTAATCCTTGAATTCATGCATCGTTCAGGTTAAGTCACACGTTCATCTTTCACTTGGATGATGTATGAATAATTTATAGATGTTTCTGGCCTTCTTACAGACGTCAATGCGAGACCTGATCGCACGAGATTCCTTCTGCGCACCAGAGATTGAGATTTTCAGAGCTGTCAGCAACTGGGCAGAGCACAACAAAGGCCAGGATCCAACTCCTATTCTTGAAGTAGTGAGGTTGCAGCTGATGGGGATGCATGAGCTTCTACATGTGGTCAGAGACACTGGTCTTGTGTCCTCTGATGCCATACTCGATGCCATTAGAATACAGACTGAAAGTCGAGACATGGATCTGAAGTACCGAGGCTATCAGGGTTGGTGACATTTAGCCATTGTGGTTCCTTCTTCTGTCTTCATCTCACTGATACCAGTTTGAAGCACACTGTCGTGGTTTCCCATATTTGTGTTTACATTTTCATAGTCTTCTTCTTATTGTCTCTACTCCTGGAATGCTTCATAGCATCAGGGCAGGAAGCGATCTCTGGAACAGGCCCTTCTGTTTGCTTTGTTCAAAGTACTTTTCAGTGTCTCTGATATTTCTGTGGTCAACAACCTCTGGATCTGATGCAATTTTATCTATATAGCATTGCTCTCTGTGGTGCCCTGTCTGATGACAGTCTTGTTATATGGCCAAACCATTTGATTTGTTGTCTACCTATACAGCTCAATATTGGTTCTGTGCAAACTCTTCTCCTGATATCCTCGTTCCTGAGTTAGTCTTTCCTCGTTACACTTACCTTCATCATATACATGATAAAAACCAGGTGGTTCCTACCAACCAGCCAGCTCAAAGGTCTTGGGTTTGAATTTTCATTGGGGTAGATTCCTATACCTGTTCCATGGCCTAAATCAAAAGGTACAAGAGAATTGGAAGGAAAGGTAGCTATCATGATGTTAGCCACATCATTTATCAAGGGCTGATTAGTCTGTAAAAGTACGAGCCTGGTATATTTCCTGGTATCCAGTTTAGGTTCAACCCGCGAAACCAGGCCAATTTTAATATTACTTTTAGATGCAGGTTTAAACTTTAGTAAAGCACCTGGCCACTATGCTATTGCAGCTGGTACACATCATGAATATCACTGCATTTCGCTGGGCGCAAGATTTCGTGTAGGCTCCGGCTGTTCTATGTTTTAGAGGTGTCATGTTTTGTTATTTTCAGAGCGTTCGCTCTTCATCGCTATCAGTGTGCCCTTACTTGGTGACTTGACCTAGGGCCCGCCCCACAATGTCACCAGTTCTCAAACCAGTGACAGTTGCAGATGAGACTTACTTGACAGAGAAAAGAAAACTCATTGAACACTTGCTCGCGCACACACACAAACACGAGTTAAGTCGCTCATTGTCGCCTGTCATGAAAGGAAGTTGCGCGCTTTCATGTCAGGCCTCAAATGAACGATAGCCGGTTGTCCGCAAGGTATTTATAGACATTGCAGGGGAAGGAACACATATTCTATCACACCTAGAACATAGGACAGCCCATGGGAACGGCCACAGCTTGAATGGGAGCCAACATGAAATCTCACACTCGGCGATATGCTGTGATTTTCATGATAAACACCCTGCAGCTGTTTTACTGTAGCTTACATGATATTATCTGTACACAAGGAGCGGCATGGCAAATAGTTCAGAAGACTCGACTGTCATGTAGGAGACCTAGCTTCAAATCCTGGTGTGTGTTTTTTTCTGTTTGGAACAAAATAACTATCCTTACCTAGACAATCTGTGGCGACTGCACTAGCCATGCAGCCCTGTATCCTCAAGTTCAAAGACAGAGAGAGAGACACACACACCACCCACACACACACACCCATCCCTTCTCCCCTGCCACAAAAACTGCTAAACAGATGATGCTGTCAATGACAGTTAACAAAACTCTATGCATGTAAACAGTATGTTTAATGCATGATCCTCGTATCATCTGCAGTATTGGAGGAAAACATAGCAACAACACGCCTTGGAGCCTCTGTTATTCGAGGTGAAATGAAAACAGCATTGCTGGATGGTGATACTCAGAATTATGATCTGGATCGAGGCTTCACACGGCATCCCATTGATGACAACAGTGGGCACGGGATAGTCATCAAACTGGGCAAGCCTTACATCATCAACACAGTCAAACTGTTGTTGTGGGACAAAGATATGAGGTCAGATCATCTGCTTTTGTGTTGTAAATGTGGTCACTTATTTACAGGAGGCAAAGATACAAATCTGTTTTATTTTATAAGTGTCAAAGTATAGTTTTGTAATTATATATAAACGAACAAACAAATCAGCCACTGGAGCAGAGCAAATGAAGAGAGAACCAGCTGGATATGTAAGTGAAGGTAGGTAAGACAGACAGAATTTGATGAGAAAAAAGAGTTATAAAATAGATTTTAAAAAAGTTTAATGAGATAAAAGAGTTTGATAAAATAAAATAGATTAAAAAAAATTTGATGAGATAAAAGAGTTTGATAAAATAAAATAGAATTTTAAAAGTTTGATGAGATAATAGAGTTGTATGAGATAAAAGAGTTTGATGAAATAAGATAGATAATAAAGTTTGATGAGATAAGAGAGTTTGATGAGATAAAAGAGTTTGATGAACTAAAATTGATTTTTTTAAAGTTTGATGAGATAAGAAAGTTTTATGAGATAAAAGAGTTTGATTTAGAAAATAGATTTTTAAAAGTTTTATGAGATAAGAAAAATTTGTGAGATAAGAAATTAAATAGTATCTGGGATAAAAGAGTTGGATGAGTGGGACTAGAGGTACTGGACTGGATTCCTTTCATGATGTAGAAAGGATAGCCCAGAATTGAGCACAGGGAAGGACTAGACTGAGAGCCCTAGGTGAGATATAATGCCATGCCAGGATAATGATGATAAAATGATAGTTGTAGGCCAGAGATACATAGTTTAAATAGTCGATTTGTTTTGTCAGTGTTTTCAGATTATTTCTTTGGGACAATTGTATGAAGAAAAAAAAATTAGTTGCGTATCCTTCACGGGATGTTGCAGAACCAGTTTCAGCATTTTTTGGCTGTTGTGGTTTTTCTAGGCAAATTCTACGTTCAGTAGTTTGCCATTGCTCTCTGACGGTCAGCTCTCGCTACTACTGTCAAAACCAATGCATGTTTACAACTCCTAAGCCACAGACGCCGACTGGGACAGAGGTGTACAGTTAATTAAAAACATGGAAATTAGTACAGTATGGGAAATCTCTGAAAGTTATAAACTTGGAAACAATTTATTGTCACAGTCTCTAAGTACAAGTTAACAGCAAGTTAAAAGCATTTGGAATGAATCAGTGCATCTGCTCACACTGATTTTGATTTTTCTGTTCAAAATATGTCCTTGGCTCTAAGGTCGACCAAGCCTAAAAATGGCTACTGGGTAGTGTCCTGGGAAGTAAGTAATGATTGTCAGAAACCTTAATGTCTAGGGCTCGATTCCATTGGCTCTGCTATAGGCTAATGACAGGAAAACACCGTACAAACACACTCAAGCCAAACACTTGTTGCAACACACACACAATCTTTATTACCAAAGATGTAAACGAAGTGGTGGTACACCTCAGGAGGAGTAGCGCTCCTTATTCAAAACCCAGGCCGCGTCTAACTTTAAAATCGCTTAGAGGCGCTTTTTACACGTTTATGAATTAAGCTCTGAGCCTCTACCACTCTCCCGTACAGTGCCAGCTCAACCCGCTATATCTCGATGCCAAAGACGTTATGGCATGCGCCAATGTGTAGGCCTAAGTGCGTCGACAGTGTTAACGCCACCAGCAAAGCATGGTCTGGCTTCTAGTTACAACTATTACTTTACATGAAACTATGAACAGAACACGTTACATCTAATCACTACGCTGGTACCTATCTTCATGTCAAAACAAACGGTCAGTCAAAAAATCCACTCTCGTCCCACGTCCAGTTTCCTAGCAGTCCCCCAAGCAAGCGTTCCGCGTCCGGTCCCAAAATGTGCACACCCGTGCGAAGTCCGCTCATGCTCGTTTCTACGTGTGTATGCACGTATTGAGTGTCACTAAGGGTCGCAGGGTACGATGACAAGATTCATCATCATCATCCTGAACTGTCCCATAGCAGGGCGAACCCTGACATCCACCCCTCCTTTTGGAAAGATACTTCCTGATGACAGACGTCTACCTTACATATCTACGTCTGGAGTCAAGTATCTCTACCTGGGTATGGGATGTCGACAGAATTGTGTCTACATTCAGTTCAGTGCATCTCCGGAGATCCTGCTTTCTTACCCCAATTATTGTCACTAAACAGTCATGAAAGTTCCTATCAACAAAGATTTGAGATGTTTCCTAATGAGAGTCAGTCACCTGAGAACAACGTATCTTTACATCCTTATGGGACATGTACATATACAAGGACAACACTAAACCATGAAGCTACCAATAGTATCACAACATGTCACAAGTACGCCACTACTAACCAACACTTTGTAGTCATAGAGGTTAAGACTGATTATATAATATTGTGGGTGGACTATTAACCGCCCGGGACCCACATGAACCCAACCCCACTCTCGTGCGAGTTGTACGCCATTGAGAACATAACAATGGTCGTCATAGACATGACCCTTCTATGGTTCTAACTAAGTCATCCCGACTCCTTGACATCCCGTCGAAAAATGTGTCTAAAATTACCTAGCAATCCCTGCCACTGACACATGTCATACCTCTAGACATATAGTGTAGTATATAGAAACACAAGTGTGGCCTGTACGACACATTTGCAACAATCATGGACAATGTCACCTGTAACATGAAACTTCCCTTAATGTACAAGGTTTCTATCACCTTCATATATATTCAGTGATCTCTCATCTGGAGCGACAATCTCTTCTAACAATATTTAAGTTTCGAATTTGGTTTATAAGTTTCTTATTTAAAAACAAAAATAAAATAAATAACCAAATTATTGTCAACCAAAATCTACTACAAATTTACATAATTACCAAAACCAACGGAAAAAAAAATACAAATTATTTCAAATAATATGTTACCACGTCGTGTCCTATTGTCAAAAATATTATTTACCTACCTAGTCTCGACCTTATATAATAATTTCCTATTACATAAAATATACTATGTGTAACTAGTTGACTATTGCGGTGCCATCCACAGAACCCAAATGTGTGGTTGACCTCTCAACAACCAACATGTCACATTTAACTTAAAATTACTCACGGAGAAATGTTAGAAATGCAAACCTGCAAAATTTCATACGTTATAGTTTAACTTTAACGATTAGGAGAAAATGGAAAAATTACGTATTGAAAACAGAAAAAGAAAATCACCAGGGAAAAATTACATTTCCAAGCTGAAAAATCAACCCAAAAATTACATTTTAAAAATAAATAATGTGTACATCCAATTTGCAACATGAATACAAAATATTTCACAACAAGACATAGATATCAAAGATGAATCTGATGAATCAGATGTATAACCTTCAATATGTAACATACCAAACATATTACACTATCACAATTAACACATAACATATAGAACATGTAATGGCTTAAACATAATATGTTAATTCACGATCACATAACATTGATAACATTTAACGAATAGAATATACCGTATGTAATCAACTGAATTTATCAGAATACGATCACATTTAACATAAATTTATCGTAGTGACGTGAATATTTCTATAGTCCCCACGTGTCATTTGTCCTTTCATTCACTTTTAATGTACATTCACTCATCAGTCATACTCTAAGTTGACGATGATCCAGTCGCTGATGTCCAGATCCACTGTCATTGACGATTCCACTTTTGTTGCCATAATAATTTGAATTCCAGTGTGTTTAAACGATTAAGTTGAATGCTTTCAGTGTTCAATGAGTTCAGTTTCCTTGAATTGTAATCTTCAGCTGCATATTGTTTTAACGAATATTCACTTCGCCTTGAATTCTAGAATGATGCCTTTGAAATTTAGAGTGTCATATCAGATAAGATCTTGCAACTGTAAGAGTTCACATTATTGCTTGAAGGAGATACATCTAGTTTTGCCACATTTTTGGTATTTCTGCAATATGAACAGTTTTTTCCTGAAACGTCTAGCACAAAGTCGATAAGTAAATATGTTACTGAAATGTTCTAGCTGTAGGTCAGCTCGGTTTAATGAGTCCTTCACAATGCTGGTTTTTGGATGCAGTACCTCATCTTCTGGCAGTTTGTGTATTTGTATATTATATCAGAGGAAGCATTGATGTGGAAAATGATGAACATAATATTGAAGTGTCTGTTGGTTTCATCGTTGACTATTTTCAAAAGGATAAATTATTTTCCCGTTTCTCAATAGGATATTGATATGTCTGTACTAATTGAACATTTTATATTGAAACAATTTTATCAGACATGATAACTTTATCTTTCACTTTCGAATGTAATCTTGTTAATCTGCAACTGATGAAAATTTTGTATCAGCAGTAGGTTTACTGCATCATTGACTTCTGACATGGAGACAATATATCTTTTCGATCTGCAATAAAAGTTGTTGAATACTGTATAATCATCATAGATCGAAAATGTTTCTGTCTTGTACAGTAGAGTTGTGTATATTGACGTCATAGTCATCATAGACGACTCAACAGATCAGCCGAATTGTAGATCATATTGATGTGGGTTCTTTCAAACTTGTTCTTTAAAAGTAGTGCCCACTTGGCAATCAAGTTGTTTTTAGGTACTGGTTCACACGGTCTGCAACAATATCTGTGCTGAATAAAGGCAACAGTTTCTTGTAAGATTGCAACAGCAAGGTACATACTATTGGGTGCTGTTTTGGCTTTGCCATGACATAGGCACCTGCTACACTGTACTGCATCGACGAAAGGTAACTCTCCTTTAAATGGGTAAGCTTCTGGTTGCTTCAAACAGCCTGCACTTCTTATACTGTTCACGCTGGATCTGAGGATGGAAGTCAATTTAAATTGAGACAATTTTAAAATTGGGGAACTGGAGAGCAGTGTCTTGATTTTGGCAAAGGCCTGGTCAAGTTCAGTATTCCATTCAATCAGGTTGGAGGATCCCTTTTTCAACTGTTTCGTATAGGCAACCGTTTTATGACTAACATTTGGTATGAATTGATTAAAGTTAATGAGCCCAAGTAAGCTTCGGATT